GCTGCTCCAGGGGCGGCTGCTGCAGTGGCGAGCGGCTCCAGGGGCGGCTGCTGCAGTGGCGGGCGGCTCCAGGGGCGGCTGCTGCAGTGGCGAGCGGCTCCAGGGGCTGCTGCTGCAGTGGCGGGCGGCTCCAGGGGCTGCTGCTGCAGTGGCGGGCGGCTCCAGGGGCTGCTGCTGCAGTGGCGGGCGGCTCCAGGGGCGGCTCCAGGGGCGGCTGCTGCAGTGGCGGGCAACTCAGGGGCGGCTGCTGCAGTGGCGGGCGGCTCCAGGGGCTGCTGCTGCAGTGGCGGGCGGCTCCAGGGGCTGCTGCTGCAGTGGCGGGCGGCTCCAGGGGCTGCTGCTGCAGTGGCGGGCGGCTCCAGGGGCGGCTGCTGCAGTGGCGGGCGGCTCCAGGGGCTGCTGCTGCAGTGGCGGGCGGCTCCAGGGGCGGCTGCTGCAGTGGCGGGCGGCTCCAGGGGCTGCTGCTGCAGTGGCGGGCGGCTCCAGGGGCGGCTGCTGCAGTGGCGGGCGGCTCCAGGGGCTGCTGCACGGGCAGGTGGCGACGCCGCGGGCAGGGCGACGCGGCGGGCAGGTGGCGACGCCGCGGGCAGGGCGACGCGGCGGGCAGGTGGCGACGCCGCGGGCAGGCGACGACGCCGCGGGCAGGCGACGACGCCGCGGGCAGGCGACGACGCCGCGGGCAGGCGACGACGCCGCGGGCAGGGGCTGCGTCGCGGGCAGGCGACGACGCCGCGGGCAGACAACGGCGCCGCGGGCAGGCGACGACGCCGTGGGCAGGCGACGACGCCGCGGGCAGGGGCTGCGTCGCGGGCAGGCGACGACGCCGCGGGCAGGGGCTGCGTCGCGGGCAGGCGACGACGCCGCGGGCAGGCGACGACGCCGCGGACAGGGCGACGCGGTGGGCGGCGAGAGCCTGCAGAGGCGGCGCGCGGTCGGGCAGAGGCTGCGCGCGGGCCTGACGGGTCTGCAGGGGCGGCTCTCGGGCGTGACGGGCCTGCAGAGGCGGCTCGGGGGGGGCCTGACGGGTCTGCAGAGGCGGCTCGGGGGCCTGACGGACCTGCAGGGGCAGCTCGAGGGCGCACGAGGGCGCACGAGGGCGTACGAGGGCGTACGAGGGCGCACGAAGGCGCACGAGGACGTACGAGGGCGTACGAGGGCGCACGAGGGCGCACGAGGGCGCACGAAGGCGCACTAGCAGAGAAAGGCGCACGAGGGCGCACGTAGGGTAGGGCGCACGAGGGCGCTTCTAGCGGAATAGTGGGCCCATTGTAGAAAGCGGTCCTAGGTAGCAACCTAGGCTCTGATACCATGTTAAAATCTTAGAATAGAACGAGAATGGGTTGCATTGAGCAGCATGAGGAGTACAAGTACCAAACCCTAGAATGTTGTACCCCATATAAGCTACCCCACTACAGCCTACACAGACTATAGTGTATGAGTTTGACAGACTCCTTACTGCATGCTCCTTTACAAGTCTTGTCACAATCTTTAAATTTTGAAATATATTTCAAAAATTTTCATATATATGTAACACAATACAATAAAACGTCAAATAACATCGGCATGACTATGTAAAAAACAGGGCCTTCTACAGTGGCCCCATAATATAAAAATCACTGCAGTACAAAAACAACCTGAAAACACAAAACCAACATACATTAGAGGGTGAAATACCCTATTCAAGAGATAAACCAGGTCTATAAAAAAAAACAGCTATTATGACATAATCACCTTCACTGCAGTGAACTAAAATGACATTTGGCATGGCAAAATAATAACGGATTGATCTTCACGTCCAAGTAATCTCGAATAAATAATCCCCCTGCTTGTAGACATATATTCTGAAATCACCACATTTACTATTCAGTGAATCAAGATGACATTAGGATTGGCATAATTAAAAAAAACTTCACGTGCGTACCTCCATTTCTCCAATTTCCGTTCTGCGAATAAGCAAAGGAGAGACGACAGTGTTATGGGGAAAACGAAACAACAATCTGCATAGATAGACGACATTGATAAATTGCCAATGGCAGTAGCAAACATAGTTTAACAGATTTAGGGATAGCTTTATAAAAATAAACATCACATTCGTACCTCCATTATCTACACTTTCCGTTCTGCGAATAAGCGAAGGAAAGACGACAAAGGTATAGGGAAAACGGAACAACAAATCTGCCTGGAAAGACGACTTTGATAAATCGCAATGGTGGAGAGACAGGGTATAATAGATCTAGGTAACAAAATCAGATCCGCACAACCATCACCATGAATGACTACCATTCTGTCGCTGAAGACTCTCATGTCGTGTTGACACTCCTTTTCTGCCAGGGGAAGGTAAATAGCGGGAAACAATAATATATATTAGAAGCGTATAGATTGAAGAAAACTCACAGGCGGCGCGGAAACTGGTGAGACTGTAGAAACAGCTCATTAATGGCTAGGTTTACGGGTTAGGGAGCGAACCGATATGGACCAGGTGTACGGTAGGATAAGGACTCCTAGAAGATAGGGATGGCTTGGCTACTAGCTGGCAAGATAACAGCGAGACTAAAACATGGAACACGAGATTAAAACATGGAACACGTACAAGTGAAACAAAAAATGATGAAGTGAGAGGACTAGGAGGGGGAATTGTCAAACTTATACACTATAGTCTGTGTAGGCTGTAGTGGGGTAGCTCATATGGGGTACAACATTCTAGGGTTTGGTACTTGTACTCCTCATGCTGCTCAATGCACTCATTCTCGTTCCAATTTTCACATGGTATAGAGCAGGTTCCCTCGTGGGAACTGTTCCTAGGGCCCACCGTAAGATTTTTTTTCCTGCCCGGAGCGCGCTCCGCCCCTGCCCGAGTCGCGCTCCCACCCCCCCCCCCACCCCTTGCTTCCCTTAGCGGCCCCGTCGCGCCGCGCTTCCGGCCCCGGCGCCGCCTCTGCTGGCCCCGGCGCCCCACCGTCGCGACCCCGCGGCCCTATCCTCGCGTCGCCCTGCGCGGCGTCGTTACAGCCGCCCGCGACCCCGACGCCGCCCGTCGCGACCCCGTCGCCCTTCGCGCCGCCCGCGACCTCGTCGCCGCGGCCGCCTGCGACCCTACCACTGCAGCCGCCCGCGACCCTGTCGCCGCAGCCGCCCGCGACCCTGCCGTCGCCACCGCCCGCGACCCTCCTGTCGCAGCCGCCCGCGACCCTACCGTCGCCGCCGCCCGCGACCCTGCAGTCGCAGCCGCCGGCGACCTCGTCGCCGCGGCCGCCTGCCCTCCCGTCGCCGCAGCCGCGCGCGACTCCTGTAGTCGCAGCCGCCCGCGACCCCCCGTCGCCCCACCCGTGCGACCCCACCGCCGCCCTTTGCGGCCCCTTCGCCATCCCTTCGCGGCCCCGCCGAGCAGCCGCGCCGCCGAGACGCCGCCGCCGCCGAGCCGCCGAGCCGCCGAGCCGCCGAGCCGTCGTTGCCGCCGAGTTGCCGAGCCGTCGAGCCGCCACTGCCGCCGTGCTGCCGAGCCGCCGAGACGCCGCTGCCGACGAGCTGCCGAGCCGCTGAGCCGCCGAGCCGCCGTTCCTGCCGTCCCGGCCCTGTTCCTGCCGACGCGCCTCGGTCCTTCTCGCCTGCCCGGTAAGAGCAGCGCCTCCACCACTGCTCTGCCCTAGCCTGCTGCTCTCACTGCTAGTCTACTGCTGTCATGGCTTCCCCCAGTGTCCTCACCTTTGACGCTGAGGGTCGGGCCATTGACTTTGACGTCTGGGTAGATGACCTGCAGCTTTTCCTACTGAGCGACAGAGCAGACGGCCTCTCCCTTTTTGACCTCACCTCTGGTGCCTCTCCTGCCCCTGCTGCTGATGCTGACCCCACTGTGGGCCACACGCGATGCTGCTGCCCGCCTTGCTGTGCGCCGCCACTTGCCGACCACTGAGCGTGCGCACTTTAGCCAGTTAAAGAGTGCTAAGGCCTTGTACGACGCTGTAGTTGCGCGCTACTCTTCCCCTGCCACTGCTGCGCTTAGCCGCCTTATCCTACCGTACCTCTTCCCTGACCTCGCCGCTTTTCCCACTGTCGCTGACCTCATTACGCACCTTCGCACTAGTGACACTCGCTACCGCGCTGCGCTTCCTGCTGAGTTCTGCGCCAAGAACCCCCCCCCCATGTACATCACCCTCTACTACATAGTCACCCGGCTCCCTGACACCCTTCGCCCGGTTAGGGACCACTTCCTCTCTGTTTGCCCCACCACCCTCACCGTTGACCTCCTCGAGGAGCGCCTGCTCGCGGCAGAGAAGAGCATAGTCGCAGTAGGTGCCTCTCGTGGTGACCCTCGTACCCCTGTCTTTGAGGGGTGCTCCCCCTCTCCCCTCTTGCCCTCTGTTGCCTCTGCTGCTGCGGCCGACCTCGTTGGTCTTGAGTCGGTCGCTGCGGCGTCTGCCCCTAGCGGGAGACGCCGCCCTGGCAAGGGCAAGGGGGGCAAGGGTGCTGGAGGGGCTGGAGGGGGCGGTGGAGGCGGAGGTGGAGGTGGTGGAGGGGGTGGGGGTGGCGGTGGGGGTGGTGGCGGGGGTGGGGGCGTCGGTGGCGGGACTGGAGGTGGAGGTGGAGGCGGCGGTGGCGGTGGGAGCGGAGGTGGCGGAGGTGGCGGTAGTGGAGGAGGTAGCGGCGGAGGCGGCGGAGCTGGTCGGGGTGGCGCTGCGCAGAGGGGTGGCTCCGGTGGTGGTGCGCGCCAGCAGCAGCAGCAGCAGCGTACCCGTGAGACCCCTTCCCCCCAGCAGCTTCGTGAGTGGTACGCTGCTCGTCAGCGGGGTGGGGGTGCTGGCCCCTGCACCTACGTTCTCCGTACCGGCGACCGGGCGGGTGAGCAGTGTGGAGGCCCGCACCCCACCCAGCGCTGCTTCGGTCGGCTGACAGACGCGTGGCGCCACCAGTTCCCCGACGCTACGGAGATCCCTCGCTGGGGCGAGCTGTCTAGGGCGGGTGTTGCGATCTATGATCTTGACTTTGATGCTATTCTTGCTGCCATGTATGCTGTGACTATTAGTGATGAGGGTGACTGTTACCGGTGTTTCCCGCCTGACCCAGGCATAGAGGCTGCTGCGCTAGGTACTTGTGAGGCTGCTGCTCTAGGTGCCAGTGCGTCTGCTGCCCCAGGTGCCGGTGAGTTTGCGCTCTCAGGTGCTGCGTCGCCCCCGGACACCCACACCTTCACCCTTGACTCGGGTGCTTCCCGCTCCTTCTTTCGAGACTGCACCACTCTCACACCGCTCAGTCGGCCTGTTGCGGTCTCCCTGGCGGACCCCTCTGGGGGTCCAGTCCTTGCTCACTACTCCACTGTCCTACCGTGTCCGGCGGTCCCGTCTGGCTCCCTGTCGGGTCTCTACCTCCCCTCGTTCTCTACGAACTTGGTGGCGGGTGCTGACCTCCAGGATGCAGGAGTTGACCAGTTCACCCCTGCGCGTCAGCGGGTGACCCACTGCACTTGTGCGGACACGGGCCGCCACTTGGCCACGTTTGCTCGTCGGCCAGGGTCGAGCCTGTACACACTGACTACTGAGTCTTCCCCAGTCACTGAGTCTGCTCAGGTAGCCGCGTCGGGTCAGGTGTTTGCTGCGGCGTCCAGGTCTGGTCCTGAGTCTGCCCCCTGCTCGTGTCGTCTCCTGTCTCACCGGACTCTCCTCTGGCACCACCGTCTTGGTCACCCCTCCCTGCCTCGCCTTCGAGGCATGGCTTCCCGTCTTCTTGTTTCTGGTCTCCCCCGGTCCCTCCCTCCTCTTCCTCCGGGGCCTGCCCCCACCTGCGTTCCCTGCGTCGAGGGGCGGCAGCGCGCTGCTCCTCACTCCTCCGAGTTTCCTCCGACAGAGGCTCCGCTGCAGACGCTTCACATGGACGTGTGGGGCCCAGCCCGCGTCCGTGGACAGGGTCAGGAGCGCTACTTCCTGCTGGTGGTTGACGACTACTCGCGTTACACCGCAGTCTTCCCCTTGCGCAGCAAGGGTGACGTCACTGAGGTGTTGATCGCCTGGATCCGCGCGGCTCGTCTCCAGCTCCAGGAGAGTTTCGGCTCCGACTTTCCTGTTCGGCGTCTGCACTCCGACCGAGGCGGAGAGTTCTCCTCTGACCTTCTGCGGACCTTCTGTCGCGCACGAGGCATCCGCCAGACCTTCACGCTTCCGGACTCTCCGCAGCAGAATGGGATTGCTGAGCGCCGCATCGGCATGGTCATGGACGTCGCTCGTACGTCCATGATCCATGCGGCTGCTCCCCATTTTCTATGGCCGTTTGCGGTTCGGTACGCGGCGCATCAGCTCAACCTTCACCCCCGGGTCTCCATGCCGGAGACCTCCCCTGCTTTGCTGTGGACGGGGAAGGTTGGTGATGCGTCGCGTTTCCGGGTCTGGGGATCTAGGGCGTTTGTCCGCGACTTGTCTGCGGACAAGCTGTCCTCTCGTGCTGTTCCCTGCGTCTTCCTTGGCTTTCCCCCTGACGCGCCAGGCTGGCAGTTCTACCACCCCACCTCGCGCCGTGTCTTCGCGTCCCAGGACGTCACCTTTGACGAGTCGGTCCCCTACAACCGTCTCTTCCCCTACCGCACTGCGTCCCTCCCTCCCCCGCCGCTCTTCCTTACACCAGGCCCCCCTCCGGTAGACCCCCTCCCCCCTCAGGGTCCTGCTCCCTCAGGTGTGTCCCAGGTAGATGCAGTTGAGCCAGTCGAGGTAGCTGTTGACTCTGGTGCTGCTGGTGGTGCTGAGCCTGGGGGTGCTGGGTCTGGGGGTGCTGCGACTGGGGGTGCTGGGTCTGGGGGTGCTGCGACTGGGGGTGCTGAGCCTGGGGGTGCTGAGCCTGGGGGTGCTGAGCCTGGGGGTGCTGGGCCTCGGAGTGCGGAGCCTGGGAGTGCTGGACCTGCTCGTCCGGCGTCTGGTGGTGCTGAGCCTGGCGGTTCCTCCGGTGCTTCGTCCCGGCGGGAGCTGCTCTCTCCACAGGAGCTGCGTGAGTGGTTCGCCCGGCGCTGGCGACGTGCTGCTGGAGCTGGTGGTGCTGCAGGAGCTGGGGGTTCTACTGCTGCTGAGAGTGCTGGTGCCGAGGGTCCCAGAGGTGCTCGTACCGAGTGTACTGGAGCTGCTGACCCTACGGATGCTCCTCCTACTGGGGCTGGTGGTACTGCTGGTGCTGCTGGCGCTGGAACTGCTGGTGCTGCTGGTGCTGCTGGTGCTGCTGGAGCTGCTGGTGCTGCTGGTGCTGCTGGTGCTGCTGGCGTTGGTGCTGCTGGAGCTCCTGGAGCTGGAGCTGCTGCGTCTTCGGGTGGTCCGGCTGGAGCTGGAGCTACTGGGGGTGCTGGCGCTGGGGGTGCTCCTGGCGCTGGTGCTGCTGGGGGTGCTGGAGTTGGCGCTGCTGGAGCTGGGGGTACTCCTGGTGCTGGTGCTGCCGTTGGGGGTGCTGGTGCTGTTCCTGCTGGCACTGGTGGCGCTGCGCGGCCACGGCCGTACTTCGTTCCGCTCCTTGAGCAGGTTCTTGGTCTTCCGTCCTCTCTTGGTCCTGCTCCTGCCTTAGAGTGTCCGCCCAGTCTGAGTCACAGTTACAGCCACCTTCCCCGCTTCCTTCTCCTTCTCCCTACACTGGTCCTACTGGAGGTCTTGCTGAGCGTCGTGAGCCTGCGTCTCGCCCTGCGTCGCCTGTCCGTGCTGCTCGCACTAGTGGTCGTGGTTCGCGTCAGCGTCCTCCCCCTGTCCCCGGCACGCACCGGATGTCTCTGCGTCCTTCCACTGCTCCGCTGCGTGCCCCTTTGCCCTCTCCTCCAGCGTCCTCTCTTCCTGAGCTTCCTGACCCGGAGTCGGACTCCCTTCGTGCTGCGCGTCCTACTGTCACGCGTCTCCTTGCTACTGTCGTCACTGACCCTTCCTTTGAGTCTACTGCTGCGTCTGCCCTAGTTGCTGAGCTTGTCGACTTCGCTGCTCGCTGTCGCCTAGACTACGCTACCAGTCTCGTCGCTGAGTCTGAGTCTGTCTGTCCTCCGTCCGTCGGGGGTGAGTGTTCTCTTGGCACGGACGTCCTAGAGGACAGGCAGGAGGAGTTCCAGTGCTTGGCTGCTGTTTCACCTCATCTCGTGTCCATGCTGCTTGCCCCTGAGGGAGACCCGGATGCACTTGACATCCCGACTCCGCGCTCTTACGCGGAGGCGATAGAGGGTCCCTACTCCTCTCAGTGGCAGGCAGCCATGGACGCAGAGATGGCTTCCTGGAAGTCCACAGGCACCTACGTTGACGAGGTTCCCCCGCCTGGGGCGAACATCGTCAGTGGCATGTGGATTTTCAGGGTGAAGCGGCCGCCGGGTTCTCCGCCTGTCTTCAAGGCGCGTTACGTGGCTCGTGGTTTCAGTCAGCGGCAGGGAGTTGACTACTTTCAGACTTTCTCCCCCACCCCGAAGATGACCACTCTTCGGGTACTGCTGCACATAGCTGCTCACCGAGACTACGAGCTGCACTCTCTTGACTTCAGCACTGCTTTCTTGCAGGGCAGCCTGCACGAGGAGATCTGGCTGCGCCGCCCACCTGGCTTCACTGGGACGTTTCCTCCTGGCACCCAGTGGAGCCTCCGGCGGCCAGTCTACGGTCTCCGCCAGGCGCCTCGTGAGTGGCACGACACACTGAGGACTACACTTGCGGCCCTTGGGTTTGCTCCTTCTACTGCCGACCCGTCGCTGTTTCTGCGCACCGACACTTCTTTGCCGCCGTTCTACATCCTCGTGTACGTCGACGACTTGGTCTTTGCTACAGCTGACACTGCTGGACTTGCCTACGTGAAGTCCGAGCTGCAGAAGAGACACACGTGCACAGACCTGGGTGAACTGCGCAGCTACCTTGGCTTGCAGATCACCCGGGACAGAGCACAGTGCACCATTACCCTGACTCAGTCACACATGGTGCAGCAGGTCCTTCAGCGCTTCGGCTTCACGTACTCCTCGCCTCAGGCCACTCCTCTGCCTACACGCCACTCGCTCTCAGCTCTGCCTTCGGATGAGTCCGTAGAGTCGAGTGGCCCGTACCCAGAGCTTGTCGGCTGCCTCATGTACCTGATGACCTGCACTCGACCTGACCTTGCATACCCTCTTAGCATTCTGGCACGCTTTGTTGCTCCTGGGAGACACAGACCAGAGCACATGGCTGCAGCGAAGAGGGTGTTGCGCTACTTGTGCAGTACGTCGGGCATGGGGCTTGTGCTTGGAGGGCATAGTTCAGTGGTCCTCACTGGTCACGCAGACGCTTCTTGGGCTGACGACCAGGCTACGCAGCGGTCGTCACAGGGTTACACCTTCAGCCTTGGTTCCGGCTCTGTTTCTTGGCGGTCTACCCGCTCGTCTTCTGTTCTTAGCTCCAGTTGTGAGGCTGAGATCTACGCAGGGGCCATGGCTGCACAGGAGCTACGCTGGCTCACCTACCTGCTGACTGACCTGGGAGAGCCGCCTCGTTCTCCTCCAGTGCTGTACGTAGACAACAAGGCCATGCTGGCCTTGTGTCGGGAGCACAGACTGGAGCACAGAACGAAGCACATCGCTCTCCGCTACTTTCTTGCTCGTGAGCTGCAGCAGCGTGGTCAGCTGCGCCTTGCTTACGTGGCCTCTGAGGCCAACACTGCTGATATCTTCACTAAGGCACTCGCGCCTTGTGATCATCAGCGCTTCTGCACTCTGTTAGGTCTTGTACCTACCTTGCCTCACTTGCTTACTTCTTGACCTTGCTTGTACTGTTACATATATATACCTGCCTGTTTAGCTTTATATATATGTGACCTTGCATGTGAACTGGCCTTGTGGCCTTGAACTTGTGCTCAGACTGTGTGGTGACGTTGTGATCCACCGTGAGCTTGCTTTGCCTTGCTTTGCTTGACTGGTCTTGTGACCCCTTGTTCTCCCCCACTTTGCCTATGGGGGTGTGTCAAACTTATACACTATAGTCTGTGTAGGCTGTAGTGGGGTAGCTCATATGGGGTACAACATTCTAGGGTTTGGTACTTGTACTCCTCATGCTGCTCAATGCACTCATTCTCGTTCCAATTTTCACAGGAATGTCGAGAAGGTGGGTTTGTGGAGGGTTAGTTGAGGGCGCGTCAACAGAATGGCGACCCTGTGGTCGATCATACGCAGGATCGGGTTTCAACGTTGTCAAAATAACTGTCAAGAAGTTCTAAGTGTAAATCGCGAGGGTTTGTTACGGTCGAAGGTCGATATTTGCACGATCTAGCCAGTGGGGACGCGTCCTGATGCGATGAGGTGGTGTGGCAGGTGGCGCGACAGGTGGCGACTGGTGGCGCAAAAAACAAGAAGTTAGTACAGTAAGAAGTGAGAATGAGGAAAGGTGGTGTGTTAGTGGTTCAGAGATCTGTAGTTGATCGAGAGGCTGAGGAATCAAATCTTGGTGCTTTCGGTTTTTAGTTTCGGTACTATTTGATTATTTTAGTAGTATAGCACAGTGGTTCGTTAATCTCTGTCTGTACGGAGGATGCGAGTTCGAATCTTGTGTGTGCAATGTCGTGTTTTGTAATTGTTTCTTGTTGCATTTTCTTGTTTGTGCTCGTTGAAACGCACCAAGCGAGCATCGATCCCTCGACCTTCCGCGCAAGTCAGCTTCAGAAGTCTTTAAAAAAATAAATTGTACAATGATGGGGCCGGATACTGAGTGGATTTTTATTTTGTTACACGACGAGAATCGAACGCGGGTGGCCAAGGAAGAAGGGGTAGGCAGGATTGGGACACATTCGGGTTAGGGCGCGTGTCTTTTGAAATTTAGGCCAAAGTTCACGTTTTTTAGTCGAATTTTGGCAGATGAACACTGGTCGACCTGTAGTCCACTATCTCATCATTTTCCTGTCGAGTCGCGTGTTCACCTTTGACGTGGAGCACATGGCACAAGAAATGCTCGACTTTCAAAGTTCGAATATGTACAGCAAAATCCGAGTCGCGCCCAGTTTCGTAGGTTACCAGGTCTATAAAGTAAAGTTCGTCAACAAATCAAATTTGTGTAACCTGTCACGACGTGGTTCGTTACCGTCGCGAGGCTCGCAGCTTTTTCGTCCGTAGGCAGAAAAACACACGTTTGCAGAAACGTGCCCGAGGCTTAGTGAATGCGAGGTCGACCCAAGTTCAGTGTCCTGCTGTTTTCTTCAACTTTGAGCTTGAACACACGATCGTCGTCAACAGCTCTTAACGAAATTGGCGAAGCTGGTTACCAGCAAAAGTTCGACCTTATTTTTGAACCTCTACACCAAAAGACACGCGCCCTTAGATCGACATTATAGGGCAAAAACTCATTGACCCAATAGTGACCCAGTTCTGACCACTAACCCTAATTTGACCCCAAATGAACTCTGGGGGCATTTTCAGGACAGGCACGGGTCAGGCCGCAATGTGGGTCACGTTAGGGTCAGAAACATTTTGATGATTTAAATCATCAGACGAACGTTAGAAGTCCGCCGCCACATTACGCAGCACCCGCGGGCTCTCCAAGTCAACCGAGTCAACGGATTCAAGTGAGGCATCGTTGTCGGCCTCGAGAAGCGCGCGCAGGTCGTCGAGTGCGGGCTCGTTGGCGGCGTAGTAACCATCACGAGGCAGTGCCGCGAAAGCTGAAATGAGGTTCAGAGATGCCACGATGACAAGGGCGAGAAGAAGGCGAGGACGAAGCGTACCCATGACTCTAGAGCTTTGCTACCACTAATTCTGCTGGAAGAGACGCTTTTGAGGGGAATTGTACTAATTTGGTTGTACTGCTGTTTCTACCGGACCTGAATGAGTTGTTTCCAACTCCCGCCGCCTTAAATATCCTAAGCGTGAGCGCCGATTGCTGTCTTCCGGCATTTTGCGGCTCGACATCGGATGATGCGGCTCGGCGCCATGCTTCTCGTAGCGCCTCGGTTTATTGCTGGGCCTTAGTAGCGTCGGATGTGGCGCTGATCGCTGGGGTACTTAGGCCACCCAAGTTTGCTGACGCTTTGGTCGCTTTGTGATGCACCTCGAAATTATGAAATATGTGAATGTGCTGGTTCAGTTGCTGGCGTGGTTGGCGGGTTCCGCGAGTGTCAAAAAAATATAAACAGGTAGAGCAAGGTTTGTAGCATTACGAAGTGGTTTTGATAAGGCTCGATGTGAATTGGGAGGTGGCTCTCTGCGCAATTACCATTCACCAGTTGCGCGGGATGTGCGGCCGGCCAAATAATTGCGCACGGACCGCACATTGCAATTCGAGTTTGCAAATCATGCACATTTTTTTTTTTTCTTGAATGCGTCTGCACTATATCCAATGCAAATACATTCCAGTCGTAACTGTATTCTGGAGAGGACCGACACCCTGGCCGGAGTAGCCACGGTGCCCCCCTCCTCTCAGCTTCTACGGGGGACGATGAAAAGTCTTAGGGTCCTGCCAAATGGAGAGGAAACCTTCCTTCCACGTGGCTTGCTCTCCTGGGTTGCTTATCCTGTCCACCGCTGCCCTCTCGTCCATTTCCAACCCCCTCCATGGGTCCCGTGGCATCGCTGCTGCCACATTCCGGTCGATCTTTTTGGACTTTTCTGCTCTGTAGACCCGTGCATGCCTCATAAAATCACAGATCGCCGCCCTTGCCACTTTCTTCCTCTGGAATCTTTCGTTCCTATACACCGCATCCACCCTGGCCAGCCAAATGCGCCGCTATCAGTGTTGTCCCCGGAAAACCGGATTCCGTGGTTCCCTCCTGGAACAGCATGTCCCCCAGCGACCTCATCTGCGCTCCTGGGTCAGTCATCTGGAGCGAACGGAGCAGCGCGCCGATTACCGGCTGAATCACCGGGCAAGTCAGCATGCAGTGGTCGAGGGTCTCCGCCTCTCCACAGTGAGGGCAGACTCCCCTGGGACCTAGGAACACCAGTCTCCCCCCGACTTGAAGGTTCTTGCTGTGCATTCTGAGCACCACGTCCCTCGCCCTGTATGGGGTCACCAAGGAGTCTCTCTTTCGCAGCACCGTTCTCCAGTCAATTTTCCTCCCCCAGTCCGTCTCCCACTCGCCCCTCCTTCTCGACTCTCTCGTTTGGCCCGTTAAAAGCCTCCGTATCACCCTGGGCGCCGCTGGTCTCATGTTTTCCTCCACCAGCTGTGTCTGGCATAGCTTTGCCCGTGGGTCCCCCATCACCCCCAGGACCGTTTTCCCCCTGACCGCCATCGGCACCACGTTCTTAACTAGGAAGTTCCCCGTGATGGGGTTCGGCGGGATCGTCAGGTTTGTTCCGTCCGCGCACCTCCGGTAGTCTGTCGCCACCCTTCCATCGTCGCTGATCCCTCGCACTGCCCAGTACATGTTTTCCTGTGTGCGCTGCAGGACCGTGCAGACCACCTTAGCTGCCGCCACGACAGTCTTCGTCGTTTTTGGTGCCGCGAGCAGCGCTTTCCACTCTTTGGGTGCCGCTTCGTATGCCTTTGTTGCCCATCTGGCCGTCGTCACACTTCCAAAAAACTCCCTCAACTCCTTGATACCTCTTATCCCTCGGCTTCCGTCATCTCTGTTCTCCAGCAGGTCCCCGATTGTTGTCGTCAAGATTCCAGCCGTACCGTTCTGGTTACCGTACGGGCTGTTGCCGCGGTACATGATTCGGCGGTTGAAGCACAGGAGCTCTTGCTCCACTTCCCATTCATTCGTCGGTGTTGGTAGGTCAGCAAAGGGTGAGTCCCAGAAAACCTCTACTACCGCTTTCCACCTCTGACTCCCCTTCTCCCAGTGTTTGCCTGCTGACTTGTGTGCGTACAGGGTACCCACTCCTTGCGGCAGTGAAGCTGCTTTTTTCCGCCAACCATTTCTTCGTAATGTTTTTCTCCGTCAACAGCTTCCCCACCATCCGGATCGCCAGACTGTCCAACCGCGCCTTCGGATCCACCAGCCCCAGGCCTCCCTCTTTCTTCGGCAGCCTTGCCAACTCGCCGCTCCAGAGGACAAACAGCTTGTCTGCCGTGGCTTGGCCTTTGGACACATAATTGTCGCAGGTCTTCTTGATTTTGGCCCACAGCTCCTCCGGTGGCGGATATATCTGCGCCTGGAAGAGGAAAATCGGCATGATGTAGTTGTTTATGACCGTGACTCTCGCAGCTGTAAGCAGATGCTGATTTTCCCACTTGACTAACTCCTTTTTCCCTCTTTCCCACGCCTTCTCCCAGGACGGTGCCGCATCACCATCCGGCATGACCCAGACCCCGAGCAGGCGCTCCGGTTTCCCATCCGCTGCCCATTTGAAATTGACCCCTGGAAGCGCTGTTTTGCCCCTGTTCCGCCCGAGCGGCATCACAACTGACTTCTCGCGGTTGGTGTGCAGGCCTGACACCCCTCCGAACCACTCGAGCACCTCCGCCGCCGAGTGAAGTTGTTCAGCTCCGCGGAGAATTAGCGACGTGTCATCTGCATACCCCACATACGCCACCTCTTCTCCCTCTTCCGCTTTGACTCCACATCCTTTTTTCCTGATCTCCGAGCACAGCGGTTCCAGCACGCATAGGAAAAGGTAGGGTGCCAGCGGACACCCTTGCCGTACACCCCTTCGCATGTCTACCTTTTCTCCGATCCATCCGTTCACCGCTATCTTCGTTCCTGACCCATGGTGTAGCCCCTCTACCCACCGAATGAAATCTGCAGGCAACCCCAGCTTCTCTAGCGTTTCAAAGAGATAAGGGCGCGACACCGTGTCGTATGCTTTCTGGAAGTCAACCATTAGGAGATACCAGTCTTCGCCATCGTTATCTGCTGCCTCGATCGCGTCCGCCACTACTGCCACCGCATCCGCCAGGCTCCGTCCAGGGATGAAACCGTGCTGCTCCGCCGAGATGATCTGGTGAAGTTCCTTCTTGAACCTATTCGCCATAACTTTTGCCAGCACCTTGTACACCGTGTTCAGTAACGTGATTGGTCGATAGTTTGACAGCTGGTCCTTCTCCCCTTTTTTGTGCAGCAGGACTGTGACCGCCGTAGTGACCGACTCCGGCAGCTTCCCTGTGGTTTCGAACCCCCGGACGAAATCCATGAAAACCCCCCCCAACAGGTCCCAGTGTGACGTGAAAAGCTCTGCAGGGAGGCCATCCTGCACTGGCGATTTCCCGCGCGGCAACCCCGCCAAAGCCGATTTCACCTCTGGTTCCGTCCACGGGGCTTTCAGCCTCCTCACAGCTTCATCCGGTAACACTCTGTCCACCGTGAAAGGCCTCCTTAGCTCTGCTCCGCCGTCAGCCTCGCTGAAAGCTTCCGCAAAGTGAGCCGACGCCGCTTTGAGTACCTCCTTCGACCCTTTGAACCGTTGCCCCTTGAATACCACCTCGTTAATAACTGTCCGCTCCTTCCTCGTCTTCACCTTGGCCGATAGGTAAGGCGACGGAACCTCCCCTTGCAGCTCCGCCGTAAGTCCCGCAAAACCTCCAGTCTCTCCCTGTCGCTTTCGCGGTATGCCTCCAACTGCTCCTCCCTGGCTAACAGTTGCCTCTGAACCGATGCATCCGTTGGACCTCCCATTACCAGGTGTCTCAACTTCTCCACCTCTCCGGTAAGATGCCGTTGCGTGCCCGCCACCCGCCTACGTTCCTCTTTCTCGTGCGCTCGTAGGCCCATCGTGAGTCGCGAGATCACCTGCTCCAACGGATGACGGCTGTCTGACATCGGTGCCCTGACCGCCTTCTCAATCACCTTCCGCACCCCCTTATTGTCCTTCCGCGTTGCCTGAAACCTCCAGAGGCCAGGGCCATGCTCTTGCGATGAGACAATGCGCAGAGCCAGGCGAATTGCGAACCAGTGATCCGTCAGTTTCCTCGGGACCTCTGCATGGCTCGCCTCCAGCAGATTGCCGAGCAGCGACGTCGAAACCAGAGCTCTATCGATGCGGGACTTCGCCTGCGTCGCCTTGACCCTGAAAGTGTACTGTTTCTCTGTGGGATGCAGCGCTCTGAAAGCGTCGCGGAGATCATGTGCCGGCCATAAGCTGATGAACCTCTGGTTCTCCTTCCCTGACCCTATTCCTGACGACTTGTCCAGATCCGGGTCTGCGATAATATTTAAATCCCCCACCACCACCAGGTGCGCCGTCGATGGTTGCGCTTGCACGAAGGGAGACAGATGCTCAGTGTGGAATTTCACCCTGCTGCATGCCTGTGCCGGGAGGTACGCCGCTATCAGCCTGAAAGCCACTTCTCCCCCTTCAACTGTTACCCCCAGCAGCCTCCCGGATGGGTCTGCCGAGACGTCCGAAAAACTTATGTGTCTTGCAAAGGCGAGTATCGCCACCCCCCCAGCTGCCTGACTGGGGCTCACTGCAGCCCATGCTTTTGGTTTCAAAAATACACATTTAATGATTTCGAGATATGTATGTCTATATAAACATTAAGATTTAGCTCCAACATTTATATTCTGGTCTAGTATATGCACAAAATGAAACAAATAGAAATATGGATCTAAATATAATCAGAAACATATGGCATGGTTTTTCTCAACTTGGGCAGGCCTTTTCCTCAGCCTTGAACATACCAGTGAGGTAAGATTTTTACTTCGGGATGAGTATAACCGCTTTTCGGACTCGTTATTAAAGTGCTTCTATCGCTTCACCATCCTCCATTCTCTGACAAGAATCGTGCCTGTCGTTTCGGCAGCGACGTTCTGGAACAACCATCTGAAGTCGGGGCTGATAGCGCCGTTGGATCGCAAGACAGATCTTCCAGACAGGGCTGAATGAACGGTTCAACGGTGCTTTCTGTTCAACCCGTTTCGCTGGTTGCCGCTCCCAGAAGTTGCCTCGACCTTGAAAATGGGGGTGGCAGAGCTCAATTCCCCCAGCACCTCGCACAAACTCCTTACATTCATCTAAACCGCTCTGAGCAAGATAGAATCTACCCTAAACAACCCACTCGTCTTCGTGGTTGGTTCACTTTCCCCACTTGTGCTCTGCTCTCGGCCCCACTCTTCACCATTTCAGGCTGACAGTGGTCGCCCCCTCACTTTCAGGAATTCCCTGTGCGGCTCAAACCTGCCTATCCAAATCTCTCACAAGTTCATTGCAGCAGTTTCACGGGACGGGGTTAGCAGCTCCTCAGGATATGCTACTTCAGGGCCTATCCTTGGCTTGTTTTTTCTTCGTTTCTCCCTCGTTACTGCGGGTGGTGTGAATATCGGAAAGAGAGCTCGTCGGTCGTTTTCCGTAGCCTCGCTCTCGCTATCTCACACCTTACCCGCTTCCGTGCCGCGGATTCATGTCATGTTGTAATCCTTAGAATCCACGTCTTGTTGTAACCCTAAGAATCCACGGCGTGTAACCATTACTACATCTTCCTTAGCATTACGGAGTACAGCCTAGGCGTAACGTTTGGATAACATACTCAAGCAAACCAGTCTAGCGTGAACTTAATCCAGTTCGCAATACGCCTTTCGCGTTAGCTTGAGATGCATCTCAGCGAAACTGTAGACTAGCTTCGTCCTGGTGTCCTCCTGTTCAGCTGCCCTGTACATGCTTTCGTCGGAGGATCGAGATAATCGCAGCCGTCGATCCTGAACGTGCCAACCATCTCGCGGCTGACGCGCGGCCCTGGCGACGGCGGTAACCCGCAGGATGAGCGCCAACGACTATCGTCCGCTTCTGCGCAACGGCGCGGGGGGGAACAACGGCGACTCCCCGTTGGCCGGCGGTGACGTGGAGCTGGCTTCAGATAAAATCGAATCTGCGGTGATGGTGTCTCCCGCGACACCCACCGCGCTGCTTTCTCCACGAAGCATGAATTTCAGCGAGAGGGTTCCGCCCGAATGGGCCGTGCTGTTGCTTGGATGTGCGCTCGGCCTCGCCACAGGAGCCAGCGTCGTCCTTTTCAACTTGGCGGTAGGTGACTTTTGAGTCGACTCAAGGGTTCCGCCGGAATGGGCCGTGCTGCTGCTCGGCTGTGCGCTCGGCCTTGGCACAGGAGTCAGCGTCGTGCTTTTCAACTTGGCGGTAGCTTTTTCGCCGGAGCCCCTTCGCCTAGTTTGGGTTGGGGTAAACGTTTTGGGTAAGCGTGTTGGGGTAAACGTGCTCTGCTTTTATGCTGTCAAGCTCCATCCCTGGCTTCCTTAGCAATTAACCTTCTCGTTTTTCGTTGTTCCAACTTCTGTTTCCTTCATTCCTTCTGTCTTATGGCCACTCCTCTTCCAACCCCTCTCCTCCCTGTCAACACTTCTCTTCCCTCTCAACCATTTTCCTCCCTCTCAACCCCCTTCCTCCCTCACAACCCGTCCAGGTTCACGGAATCCACAACCTAGCATGGGCCGGCACACCAGCAGAGGGAGCAGCGTGGCTGCGCGTGCAGCCCATCACCACCACTTGGCACCGGATCATGCTCATCCCCGTTATGGGCGGGGTCGTTGTAGGCATGCTACACGCCCTTGGCGGCATCATCGAACAAAGCCAAAGCCCATCCCAAGCCCAGGGGCAGAGCCGCGGGGCAACCCTACGTTTAGAGCAGCAGAGAGGAATAGACTGGGGAGCGGCTTTTACACCCGTAATTCGAGCCATTCAAGCAGCAGTAACCCTAGGCACAGGCTCTTCTTTGGGACCAGAAGGGCCGAGTGTGGACATAGGCAAGGCCTGGGCAGATGGAATGGCGGAGATTTTGATGAATACGCATGAGAGGAAAACAGCTTTGGTGGCTGCGGGTGCAGCGGCGGGTATTTCATCGGGTTTCAATGCGGCGGTAGCTGGGTGTTTCTTTGCCATTGAAACGGTGCTACAGTCAGTTGCTTCGGAGAACGCGCCCCCGCTTACCACTGCCATGATCATCCTCGCTTCAGTGCTCTCCTCTACAGTCTCTAACGTCGTTCTGGGTGAAGAGCCTGCGTTTACTGTGCCTGAATACGAGCTGAAATCGGCTGCCGAGTTGCCACTGTACCTGCTGCTCGGGATGGTTTGTGGGGTTATTTCCGTGATATTTACCCGGTTAATCAAGTGGTCCACAGCCTTTTTCGACTTTCTCCGGGACCGCCTCGGCATCCCGCCAGCTGTCACGCCGGCATTGGGCGGCTTGTGTGTGGGGTTTATAGCGCTACAGTACCCGGGTGTCTTGTACTGGGGTTTCAGTAACGTGAACGAGATCTTACACTCGAGGGAGAGTGCATCTGCCCCTGGTCCGAAACTGATGACTCAGCTGATAGCAGCCAAGATCGTTGCCACGGCGCTCTGCAGAGGCTCGGGCTTGGTTGGGGGAATCTACGCCCCGAGCCTGTTCATAGGTTCGGCAGTAGGCTCGGTGTATGGGTCACTGGCGGGTGCGGCTATCCAGGCTGCCATTCCCGGGAAGGCTGAGGTTGCGGCACCACAGGCATACGCTTTGGTAAGTTGGTGATGGTGACGGGTACTGATGTGGTATGGCTGAGAAAGGCGAGGCTGAGGTCGCAGCCCCACAGGTGTATGCCCTGGTGAATTGTGATGATGTTGGTAGAATTGCTCTGCATTGTGAATGGCTGAAATGGCTGCTTCGCATAGGGTTCCGCGTTAATCGACTGGGTTGGGCCCTGCTCGTGTGGGGTACTGAATCCCGCAGGTGATAGGGCATGTTACTGATGTTATTCAGTAGCCATTCACCCTTACCTTGTTTCGCCTTCAACCCGCTTTTCGTTCCCTTATGCCTACCGCTCCTATCATTCCCTCACTCATCAGGTGGGCATGGCGGCAATGCTCGCCTCTGTGTGCTCTGTGCCCCTCACATCCGTTCTCCTCCTCTTCGAATTGACTAAGGACTACCGCATCCTGTTGCCACTCATGGTACGATTCCCGCGCCGCTTCCTGAATGTATTTTGTGAATTGACTACCCACCTCCTCAGTGCTGCCGCTCTTCGAATTGACCAAGGACTACTGCATCCTGTTGCCACTCATGGTACGTATCTCCCTCTGCTTCCTTTCCTGAGGGTATTCTGTGCGTACCCACCTCCTTGGTGCTCCATTTTTTCGAACTCACCAAGGGTTACTGCATCCTGCTGCCACTCATGGTATGATTCCCACTCCATCTTAAAAGTAGATCTGTCTTGATATATACATTTACGTGTAAAGGATGTGTTTTTAGTTATCCTCTTGCACGCCAGCTCTCATCGGTCTTCTTCCCTTCATCCCATGATGAGTTCCCCAACCTCACCCTCCGCCTACCAACTCTCCCCCTCCCAGGGCGCAGTGGGGCTGGCCTACTGGGTCTCTTCAGTAGCCAATCGCAAGAATCCCGTACTCTCGCACGCCAAGCTCAAGCCTCACCCCCATTCCCTCCCTTTTCCCATATTCCCTCCCCTTCCGCCCCCAACCCTCTCCCTCCTCCCAGGGCGCAGTGGGGCTGGCCTACTGGGTCTCCTCAGTAGCCAACCGTTCTCTCCCACGCCAAGCTCAAGCTCTAACCCTCTTTCCTCCCTTCACCCCAACTCCCTTCTCGCCACTTCTCTCCCCCATCCCCACTGCTTTTCCCTCTCCAGGGCGCAGTGGGTCTGGCCTACTGGGTCTCCTCAGTAGCCAACCGTTCTCTCCCACGCCAAGCTCAAGCTCTAACCCTCTTTCCTCCCTTCACCCCAACTCCCTTCTCGCCACTTCTCTCCCCCATCCCCACTGCTTTTCCCTCTCCAGGGCGCAGTGGGTCTGGCCTACTGGGTCTCCTCAGTAGCCAACCGTTCTCTCCCACACCGAGCTCAATCCCTAACCCTCTCCCCTCCCTTCAACCCATCTCCCTTCTTGCCACTTCTATCCCCCATCCCCACTGCTTTTCCTTTCACAGGGCGCGGTGGGGCTGGCCTACTGGGTCTCATCAGTGGCCAATCGCAAGAAGCCTGTTCTCTCTCACACCAAGCTCGCCCCCGGCTCTGCCGCAGCCTTTGCTGCTGCCGGCGGGCATAGTGACTCAGCCCTCACACTCTACTCGCCCTTGGGCACAGCCATGAACGGCCATGCCTCTCACCACCAGACTCTATCCCATCTGCACGACCACCATGAGCACCACCACTCGACGCATTTCGGGGGCCCTCCTCTGTCCCCGACGCAGCTCAGGGCGTCTTCGTCGATCTCGTGGCATCGGGGGAGTGGTGGTGGGAGCAGTACGGGGGGTGGGAGTGGCGCAGAGGACGTGGAGTTGTGTGCGGTTGAGGGGTTTGCGGGGGTGTGGAGGCGGCTTTGAGTGTGGATAGACTGCTGGACGAACTCAAGGTGAGCGCATTGGGTGCATTGGGAAATACGGGAGTTGAGTGCGGTTGGCAGGTATGCTGTAGGGTGGTGGGACGGCCTTTGTGTCAGTGAAGGCAGGCACGCCTCCGTCCTTTGATCCCTTACTCCCCTGCTCCCCTCCTCTTCCCACCTCACCCCCAGATACCTGCTGCAATGAGCACCACCTTTGTGTCCGTGCGAGCAGACGCAGTATCCCCCATCCCTCCCTCACCCCCTCCTCCCCTCCCTCGTTTCCCCCCCCGTCTCCCCCCCTTCCCACAGGTGGCTGTGCGGCAGACGCGAAAGTAAGAGAAGCCATGCTAACCCTCCTGGAAGGCCTTGCAGACTGTATCATGGTGGTGGGTGCAGGGGGGCTACTGGAAGGCATGTTTGGCTAACACCCACTTGTTCCCTCCTCCCTTCCCCTCCATCTCCCCCCAACCGCCACCCTTTCCCCTCCCCACCCCCACTCCCCCCCTTCCCCCCACACCCCACTCCCCAGGTGGCTGCAGCAATGAGCACCACCTTTGTGTCAGTGCAGGCAGACGCCCCTTTCTCCATCCCTCCCTTCCTCCATCCCTCCCTTACTCCATCCCTCCCTTCCTCCATCCCTCCCTTCCTCCATCCCTCCCTTCCTCCATCCCTCCCTTCCTCCATCCCTCCCTTCCTCCCTCCCTCCTCCATCCCTCCCTTCCTCCATCCCTCCCTCCTCCATCCCTCCCTTCCTCCATCCCTCCCTTCCTCCATCCCTCCCTTCCTCCATCCCTCCCTTCCTCCATCCCTCCCTTCCTCCATCCCTCCCTTCCTCCATCCCTCCCTTCCTCCATCCCTCCCTCCTCCATCCCTCCCTTCCTCCATCCCTCCCTTCCTCCATCCCTCCCTTCCTCCATCCCTCCCTTCCCCCCCTCCCTCCCTCCCTCCCTCCTCCATCCTCCCTTCCTCCATCCCTCCCTCCATCCCTCCATCCCTTCCTCCATCCCTCCCTTCCTCCATCCCTCCCTTCCTCCATCCCTCCCTTCCTCCATCCCTCCCTTCCTCCATCCCTCCCTTCCTCCATCCCTCCCTTCCTCCATCCCTCCCTTCCTCCATCCCTCCCTTCCTCCATCCCTCCCTTCCTCCATCCCTCCCTTCCTCCATCCCTCCCTTCCTCCATCCCTCCCTCCTCATCCCTCCCTTCCTCCATCCCTCCCTTCCTCCATCCCTCCCTTCCTCCATCCCTCCCTTCCTCCATCCCTCCCTTCCTCCATCCCTCCCTTCCTCCATCCCTCCCTTCCTCCATCCCTCCCTTCCTCCATCCCTCCCTTCCTCCATCCCTCCCTTCCTCCATCCCTCCCTCCTTCCTCCATCCCTCCTTCCTCCATCCCTCCCTTCCTCCATCCCTCCCTTCCTCCATCCCTCCCTTCCTCCATCCCTCCCTTCCTCCATCCCTCCCTTCCTCCATCCCTCCCTTCCTCCATCCCTCCCTTCCTCCATCCCTCCCTTCCTCCATCCCTCCCTTCCTCCATCCCTCCCTTCCTCCATCCCTCCCTTCCTCCATCCCTCCCTTCCTCCATCCCTCCCTTCCTCCATCCCTCCCTTCCTCCATCCCTCCCTTCCTCCATCCCTCCCTTCCTCCATCCCTCCCTTCCTCCATCCCTCCCTTCCTCCATCCCTCCTCCATTCCCTCCCTTCCTCCATCCCTCCCTTCCTCCCTCCCTTCCTCCATCCCTCCCTTCCTCCATCCCTCCCTTCCTCCATCCCTCCCTTCCTCCATCCCTCCCTTCCTCCATCCCTCCCTTCCTCCATCCCTCCCTTCCTCCATCCCTCCCTTCCTCCATCCCTCCCTTCCTCCATCCCTCCCTTCCTCCATCCCTCCCTTCCTCCATCCCTCCCTTCCTCCATCCCTCCCTTCCTCCATCCCTCCCTTCCTCCATCCCTCCCTTCCTCCATCCCTCCCTTCCTCCATCCCTCCCTTCCTCCATCCCTCCCTTCCTCCATCCCTCCTCCATCCCTCCCTTCCTCCATCCCTCCCTTCCTCCATCCCTCCCTTCCTCCATCCCTCCCTATCCCTCCCTTCCTCCATCCCTCCCTTCCTCCATCCCTCCCTTCCTCCATCCCTCCCTTCCTCCATCCCTCCCTTCCTCCATCCCTCCCTTCCTCCATCCCTCCCTTCCTCCATCCCTCCCTTCCTCCATCCCTCCCTTCCTCCATCCCTCCCTTCCTCCATCCCTCCCTTCCTCCATCCCTCCCTTCCTCCATCCCTCCCTTCCTCCATCCCTCCCTTCCTCCATCCCTCCCTTCCTCCATCCCTCCCTTCCTCCATCCCTCCCTTCCTCCATCCCTCCCTTCCTCCATCCCTCCCTTCCTCCATCCCTCCCTTCCTCCATCCCTCCCTTCCTCCATCCCTCCCTTCCTCCATCCCTCCCTTCCTCCATCCCTCCCCTTCCTCCATCCCTCCCTTCCTCCATCCCTCCCTTCCTCCATCCCTCCCTTCCTCCATCCCTCCCTCCATCCCTCCCTTCCTCCATCCCTCCCTTCCTCCATCCCTCCCTTCCTCCATCCCTCCCTTCCTCCATCCCTCCCTTCCTCCATCCCTCCCTTCCTCCATCCCTCCCTTCCTCCATCCCTCCCTTCCTCCATCCCTCCCTTCCTCCATCCCTCCCTTCCTCCATCCCTCCCTTCCTCCATCCCTCCCTTCCTCCATCCCTCCCTTCCTCCATCCCTCCCTTCCTCCATCCCTCCCTTCCTCCATCCCTCCCTTCCTCCATCCCTCCCTTCCTCCATCCCTCCCTTCCTCCATCCCTCCCTTCCTCCATCCCTCCCTTCCTCTCCCTCCCTTCCTCCATCCCTCCCTTCCTCCATCCTCCCTCCCTTCCTCCATCCCTCCCTTCCTCCATCCCTCCCTTCCTCCATCCCTCCCTTCCTCCATCCCTCCCTTCCTCCATCCCTCCCTCCCTCCATCCCTCCCTTCCTCCATCCCTCCCTTCCTCCATCCCTCCCTTCCTCCATCCCTCCCTTCCTCCATCCCTCCCTTCCTCCATCCCTCCCTTCCTCCATCCCTCCCTTCCTTTCCATCCCTCCCTTCCTCCATCCCTCCCTTCCTCCATCCCTCCCTTCCTCCATCCCTCCCTTCCTCCATCCCTCCCTTCCTCCATCCCTCCCTTCCTCCATCCCTCCCTTCCTCCATCCCTCCCTTCCTCCATCCCTCCCTTCCTCCATCCCTCCCTCCCTCCTCCATCCCTCCCTTCCTCCATCCCTCCCTTCCTCCATCCCTCCCTTCCTCCATCCCTCCCTTCCTCCATCCCTCCCTTCCTCCATCCCTCCCTTCCTCCATCCCTCCCTTCCTCCATCCCTCCCTTCCTCCATCCCTCCCTTCCTCCATCCCTCCCTTCCTCCATCCCTCCCTCCTTCCTCCATCCCTCCCTTCCTCCATCCCTCCCTTCCTCCATCCCTCCCTTCCTCCATCCCTCCCCTTCCTCCATCCCTCCCTTCCTCCATCCCTCCCTTCCTCCATCCCTCCCTTCCTCCATCCCTCCCTTCCTCCATCCCTCCCTTCCTCCATCCCTCCCTTCCTCCATCCCTCCCTTCCTCCATCCCTCCCTTCCTCCATCCTCCCTTCCTCCTCCCTCCCTCCATCCCTCCCTTCCTCCATCCCTCCCTTCCTCCATCCCTCCCTTCCTCCATCCCTCCCTTCCTCCATCCCTCCCTTCCTCCATCCCTCCCTTCCTCCATCCCTCCCTTCCTCCATCCCTCCCTTCCTCCATCCCTCCCTCCTCCATCCCTCCCTTCCTCCATCCCTCCCTTCCTCCATCCCTCCCTTCCTCCATCCCTCCCTTCCTCCATCCCTCCCTTCCTCCATCCCTCCCTTCCTCCATCCCTCCCTTCCTCCATCCCTCCCTTCCTCCATCCCTCCCTTCCTCCATCCCTCCCTTCCTCCATCCCTCCCTTCCTCCATCCCTCCATCCCTCCCTCCTCCATCCCTCCCTTCCTCCATCCCTCCCTTCATCCCTCCCTTCCTCCATCCCTCCCTTCCTCCATCCCTCCCTTCCTCCATCCCTCCCTTCCTCCATCCCTCCCTTCCTCCATCCCTCCCTTCCTCCATCCCTCCCTTCCTCTCCCTCCCTCCCTTCCTCCATCCCTCCCTTCCTCCATCCCTCCCTTCCTCCATCCCTCCCTTCCTCCATCCCTCCCTTCCTCCATCCCTCCCTTCCTCCATCCCTCCCTTCCTCCATCCCTCCCTTCCTCCATCCCTCCCTTCCTCCATCCCTCCCTTCCTCCATCCCTCCCTTCCTCCATCCCTCCCTTCCTCCATCCCTCCCTTCCTCCATCCCTCCCTTCCTCCATCCCTCCCTTCCTCCATCCCTCCCTTCCTCCATCCCTCCCTTCCTCCATCCCTCCCTTCCTCCATCCCTCCCTTCCTCCATCCCTCCCTTCCTCCATCCCTCCCTTCCTTCCTCCATCCCTCCCTTCCTCCATCCCTCCCTTCCTCCATCCCTCCCTTCCTCCATCCCTCCCTTCCTCCATCCCTCCCTTCCTCCATCCCTCCCTTCCTCCATCCCTCCCTCCATCCCTCCCTTCCTCCATCCTCCCTTCCTCCATCCCTCCCTTCCTCCATCCCTCCCTCCTTCCTCCTTCCTCCCTTCCTCCATCCCTCCCTTCCTCCATCCCTCCTTCCTCCATCCCTCCCTTCCTCCATCCCTCCCTTCCTCCATCCCTCCCTTCCTCCATCCCTCCCTTCCTCCATCCCTCCCTTCCTCCATCCCTCCCTTCCTCCATCCCTCCCTTCCTCCATCCCTCCCTTCCTCCATCCCTCCCTTCCTCCATCCCTCCCTTCCTCCATCCCTCCCTTCCTCCATCCCTCCCTTCCTCCATCCCTCCCTTCCCTCCATCCCTCCCTTCCTCCATCCCTCCCTTCCTCCATCCCTCCCTTCCTCCATCCCTCCCTTCCTCCATCCCTCCCTTCCTCCATCCCCCCTTCCTCCATCCCCCTCCCTTCCTCCATCCCTCCCTTCCTCCATCCCTCCCTTCCTCCATCCCTCCCTTCCTCCATCCCTCCCTTCCTCCATCCCTCCCTTCCTCCATCCCTCCCTTCCTCCATCCCTCCCTTCCTCCATCCCTCCCTTCCTCCATCCCTCCCTTCCTCCATCCCTCCCTTCCTCCATCCCTCCCTTCCTCCATCCCTCCCTTCCTCCATCCCTCCCTTCCTCCATCCCTCCCTTCCTCCATCCCTCCCTTCCTCCATCCCTCCCTTCCTCCATCCCTCCCTTCCTCCATCCCTCCCTTCCTCCATCCCTCCCTTCCTCCATCCCTCCCTTCCTCCATCCCTCCCTTCCTCCATCCCTCCCTTCCTCCATCCCTCCCTTCCTCCATCCCTCCCTTCCTCCATCCCTCCCTTCCTCCATCCCTCCCTTCCTCCATCCCTCCCTTCCTCCATCCCTCCCTTCCTCCATCCCTCCCTTCCTCCATCCCTCCCTTCCTCCATCCCTCCCTTCCTCCATCCCTCCCTTCCTCCATCCCTCCCTTCCTCCATCCCTCCCTTCCTCCATCCCTCCCTTCCTCCATCCCTCCCTTCCTCCCTCCTCCATCCCTTTCCTCCATCCCTCCCTTCCTCCATCCCTCCCTTCCTCCATCCCTCCCTTCCTCCATCCCTCCCTTCCTTCCTCCATCCCTCCCTTCCTCCATCCCTCCCTTCCTCCATCCCTCCCTTCCTCCATCCCTCCCTTCCTCCATCCCTCCCTTCCTCCATCCCTCCCTTCCTCCATCCCTCCCTTCCTCCATCCCTCCCTTCCTCCATCCCTCCCTTCCTCCATCCCTCCCTTCCTCCATCCCTCCCTCCTCCATCCCTCCCTTCCTCCATCCCTCCCTTCCTCCATCCCTCCCTTCCTCCATCCCTCCCTTCCTCCATCCCTCCCTTCCTCCATCCCTCCCTTCCTCCATCCCTCCCTTCCTCCATCCCTCCCTTCCTCCATCCCTCCCTTCCTCCATCCCTCCCTTCCTCCATCCCTCCCTTCCTCCATCCCTCCCTTCCTCCATCCCTCCCTTCCTCCATCCCTCCCTTCCCTTCCTCCATCCCTCCCTTCCTCCATCCCTCCCTTCCTCCATCCCTCCCTTCCTCCATCCCTCCCTTTCCTCCATCCCTCCCTTCCTCCATCCCTCCCTTCCTCCATCCCTCCCTTCTTCCTCCATCCCTCCCTTCCTCCATCCCTCCCTTCCTCCATCCCTCCCTTCCTCCATCCCTCCCTTCCTCCATCCCTCCCTTCCTCCATCCCTCCCTTCCTCCATCCCTCCCTTCCTCCATCCCTCCCTTCCTCCATCCCTCCCTCCCTTCCTCCATCCCTCCCTTCCTCCATCCCTCCCTTCCTCCATCCCTCCCTTCCTCCATCCCTCCCTTCCTCCATCCCTCCCTTCCTCCATCCCTCCCTTCCTCCATCCCTCCCTTCCTCCATCCCTCCCTTCCTCCATCCTCCCTTCCTCCATCCCTCCCTTCCTCCATCCCTCCCTTCCTCCATCCCTCCCTTCCTCCATCCCTCCCTTCCTCCATCCCTCCCTTCCTCCATCCCTCCCTTCCTCCATCCCTCCCTTCCTCCATCCCTCCCTTCCTCCATCCCTCCCTTCCTCCATCCCTCCCTTCCTCCATCCCTCCCTTCCTCCTCCCTCCCTTCCTCCATCCCTCCCTTCCTCCATCCCTCCCTCCCTCCCCCTCCCTCCATCCCTCCCTTCCTCCATCCCTCCCTTCCTCCATCCCTCCCTTCCTCCATCCCTCCCTTCCTCCATCCCTCCCTTCCTCCATCCCTCCCTTCCTCCATCCCTCCCTTCCTCCATCCCTCCCTTCCTCCATCCCTCCCTTCCTCCATCCCTCCCTTCCTCCATCCCTCCCTTCCTCCATCCCTCCCTTCCTCCATCCCTCCCTTCCTCCATCCCTCCCTTCCTCCATCCCTCCCTTCCTCCATCCCTCCCTTCCTCCATCCCTCCCTTCCTCCATCCCTCCCTTCCTCCATCCCTCCCTTCCTCCATCCCTCCCTTCCTCCATCCCTCCCTCCCCTTCCCCCTGCTCCCCCTTCCCCTCAGGTGGCTGCAGCAATGAGCACCGCTGTCGTCTCAGTGCGGGCAGACGCCACTGTAAAGGAGGCCGTTCTGGCCCTCCTGGAGGGGTCCACACCTATTCGGTCCCCTCCTATCTTCCTCTCCTTGCCTCTCCTCCCCCCCGCTCCCCACCCTCCCAGGTGGCTGCAGCAATGAGCACCACCTTTGTATCAGTGCGAGCAGACGCGACAGTGAGAGAAGCCGTGCTGGCTCTTCTGGAAGGCCTCTCAGATTGTGCCATGGTGGTGGATGCAGAGGGGCTGCTGTAAGGCACGCTCTCCCCCTCCCTCTTTTGTGGGCTAACACCCTTCTTTTCTTCCTCCCTTCCCTTCCCTCCCTTCCCCCACCCCCCAGGTGGCTGCAGCAATGAGCACCACCTTCGTGTCGGTGCGAGCCGATGCAACAGTAAGAGAAGCCGTGCAGGCCCTCCTTGAAGGCCGATCAGACTGTGCCATGGTGGTGGATGCAGAGGGGCTGCTGGAAGGCACGTTGGGCTCACATCCATTCGTTCCCTGCCCCCTTCACCCCACTCCTCCCCCCTCTCCCCAGGTGGCTGCAGCAATGAGCACCACCTTCGTGTCGGTGCGAGCCGATGCAACAGTAAGAGAAGCCGTGCAGGCCCTCCTTGAAGGCCGATCAGACTGTGCCATGGTGGTGGATGCAGAGGGGCTGCTGGAAGGCACGCTCTCACCCTCCCTCTTTTGTGGGCTAACACCCTTCTTTTCTTCCTCCCTTCCCTTCCCTCCCTTCCCCCACCCCCCCAGGTGGCTGCAGCAATGAGCACCACCTTCGTGTCGGTGCGAGCCGATGCAACAGTAAGAGAAGCCGTGCAGGCCCTCCTTGAAGGCCGATCAGACTGTGCCATGGTGGTGGATGCAGAGGGGCTGCTGGAAGGCACGCTCTCACCCTCCCTCTTTTGTGGGCTAACACCCTTCTTTTCTTCCTCCCTTCCCTTCCCTCCCTTCCCCCACCCCCCCAGGTGGCTGCAGCAATGAGCACCACCTTCGTGTCGGTGCGAGCCGATGCAACAGTAAGAGAAGCCGTGCAGGCCCTCCTTGAGGGGCGATCAGACTGTGCCATGGTGGTGGATGCAGAGGGGCTGCTGGAAGGCACGCTCTCTCTGTCTGACGTGCACCGGGAGCTTCGCCGGTCCTCCATCATTAGTGCTGCCGGCACGGCCAGCCACCGAGGCTCGGCGATCGCCGGACCTGGAGGCTCGGGCGGGAGTGTGAGAGGGTCGGTTGCGGGTGGGGTGGCTGGTGGTTCAGGAGGAGGGGGAGGAGGAGGAGGGGGGAGTCATAGAGGTTCGGCAGTGTCGGTAGGGCTTATGCCTGTGGGAGGAGTGGGAGGGGTGGGTGGAATGGGAGGATTGGAAAGGGCGCTGTCACACAGAGCATCTGTTGCTGCCTCTGAACTGGCTCCTGGAGGCCTGGAGGTGAGCTTGTTGCTTCTGCCCTCCCTTCTTGCTCGTGTGCATGCACAACTGTTTCGCATATGCGCAGTATCACATTATCCAGTGTGCGGGGGTTGCATTTTGCCAGTTCTTCCGTTCGCATTTCCTCTCCACCCCCTTTTTACTCCCCTTTCACCGCCCTTTCAACCTGCTTCCCCATTCCTTTCAATCCCCTTTCAAGCCCCCTCTCCCATCTCTTTCAACCCTGTTTCAACCCCCTACTCCTGCAAACATATTTTTTCCCGCTATCTTTCACACGCTTCACCCCGTCTTTCACCCCCAGGTGCACGAGATGCTGGTGGGAGCGGTGTGCACCAGCACCACAGCACACGGAGACTCGGACCTCATCATGTGTGCAAACACGCTTCCCCTCTTTCCTTCCTTTCACACCCCCAGGTGCACGAGATGCTGGTGGGAGCAGTGTGCACCGGCACAACAGCCCACGGAGACTACGACCTCGTCGTCTGCTTCCCAGACCAGACGCTGCGTGCCGCCCGCCACCTAATGCTGCCGAGAAACCTCACGGTGTTGCCTGTGGTGTCTCGGTCCGGCAAGCGGTGGCAGGACCGGGGGAGGAAGCTGGTTGGGGTCCTGGAGGCATCAGCTATCCGTGCCACATGCCAGTGAGTTAATGGTTTATGGATGTAACATGTGATAGTATAATCCTGTATCCATTAGCACCCCGCTGTGGTGTCGCGGACTGGCAAGCAGTGGCAGAACCGGGGGAGGAAGCTGGTTGGCGTGTTGGAAGCATCAGCCATCCACGCCACATACCAGTGAGTTGGATTCATGCGTGTCATGTGCCTAAGGGTGTACACCCTTAGTGAGTACTGCCGCGGGTGCCAAGTCCGGCAAGCGGTGGCAGGACCGGGGAAGGAAGCTGGTGGGCGTATTGGAAGAATCAGCTATTGGGGACCGTGCCACATGCCTGTGAGTTGGATCAGTGCTTGCGCTGTGGAAGAAACTGATACATATGAGGTGGTTTGCCTCAACCGCACGAAAGTACCATGTTTGAGGCAATGTTTGAGGCAATGTTTGAGGCAATGTTTGAGGCAATGTTTGAGGCAATGTTTGAGGCAATGTTTGAGGCAATGTTTGAGGCAATGTTTGAGGCAATGTTTGAGGCAATGTTTGAGGCAATGTTTGAGGCAATGTTTGAGGTGATGTTTGAGGCAATGTTTGAGGCAATGTTTGAGGCAATGTTTGAGGCAATGTTTGAGGCAATGTTTGAGGTGATGTTTGAGGCAATGTTTGAGGCAATGTTTGAGGCAATGTTTGAGGTGATGTTTGAGGTGATGTTTGAGGCAATGTTTGAGGCAATGTTTGAGGCAATGTTTGAGGCAATGTTTGAGGCAATGTTTGAGGTGATGTTTGAGGCAATGTTTGAGGCAATGTTTGAGGCAATGTTTGAGGCAATGTTTGAGGCAATGTTTGAGGTGATGTTTGAGGTGATGTTTGAGGCAATGTTTGAGGCAATGTTTGAGGTGATGTTTGAGGCAATGTTTGAGGTGATGTTTGAGGCAATGTTTGAGGTGATGTTTGAGGCAATGTTTGAGGCAATGTTTGAGGTGATGTTTGAGGCAATGTTTGAGGTGATGTTTGAGGTGATGTTTGAGGCAAGTCCGGCAAGCGGTGGCAGGTGTGTGGGAGGGAGCTGGTGACACATGCCAGTGAGTGGGGAGTTCAGGTTGTTGGGTATAAGTGGCTTACCCTGCATGTTGGTATCTAACTACATGGCATGTGGATGTGCTGTGTGCATGTGTGGGTACGGTATCGCTATCTTTTGCGGATGTATAATGTGCGTGGGGCTACAGTATTCTGTCTCATCCCCTCTTCTATGGATGTGCCTTGCGTGTTTTTTAAGTCTGGTAAGGAATGCCAGCACTGTGGGGATGCTGAGGGCTTCTTGAAAGCACATGGATTACTCTGGCGGTGAGGTGTCGAGATGTGGGTGTTACCACAAAATGGATTGTTATAAGTGACTGACCGTGGATCGAGTGTCTCTGCGAAGTGCATGTGGTGTGCCATGGCCTAACACTTCAGCCCCTCATTCCCGTGCATTTCAGAGCGGAGGCAACTCGCCGGATTTTGGGAGTACCGGAGGAGCCACAAGAAGCATCACATGGTGCTGGTGGCCATTGAAGCCTTGTCTTGAGAACTTTCAAAAGAGGTTTTATTGATGCGAGTTACACTTTGAACGCCTTTGGTTCAGTCCAAACTTGAGTCCTTGTTATCCTGCCATGTATATTTTGCAATCCATTCAGATCATTGATTTTGTGTGCCGGAGTCATTTTGTTTTGAAATGTAGGTTAGGACAAAGAGGTTGTCAGCAGAGGGTACAAGAGCCGGAGCGGTTCGAACGGTAACTGCGGTCTGTTCAACACGTGTCCAAAAATCACAACGACGAAATGTGGTGCGAATTTTGAGGCGGAATCGGGAATTTGCGCCTCGGAGACATCTACGTTGGTTGGATGCATGCGGCTCGCCAGGCCTCTCGATGTGTTTTTGGGCACCCTGCCAGAAGCGAGTCGTGGCCGACCTTCACCCTGCCACTGCAGTGTGCCAATCGCGGCATACTCAGGAAATGGCAGGGTGTTTTGTATTTTCTTGTCGGAACTGGCAGGGTAGAAATCTCGCTAACACTGCTGAGCTCTGCAGACCCGCTCTGAGCAGGACTTCGTCAAATTACAGCCTGTTCCGTCACTGAGCGAGCTTAGCGTGTTAAAGGGACTTAACTAAGTTTCCAGCTTGTCCCAGCGACAAAGACAAAATTCTGGTCTGTTTCTATGACTTCGCCGAATTTCGGAAAGCTTGAGTGACTTCGCCGAATTTCCAGTATGTTTCAGACTTCGCTGAATGTCCAGTGTGCTCCAGTCACTTGGTCAAATTCTCTGAGTGCTTCAGTGACTTGGCCAATTTCCAGTGTTTCAGTGACTTCGCTGAATGTCGAGTGTGTTCTAGTGACTTGGGCGGATTTCCAGAGTGCTTCAGTGACAGCCGAATTTCCAGTGTGTTTCAAAGACTTGGCAGCATTTCCAGAGTTTCAGTGTCTTAGCCAAATTCTCTGACTTGAAATTGGAGAGCACGAGAGTTTGACTCTCAAGGACTCCTTAGAAGGGTAAAAATGACTTGGACTCGGAAAAGGCAGGGCTGACAGGATGCTCTCACCTGGAATTGAAGGGTACGGTTTAACTCATGTCAAGGCGTGTCAGGGCGGTACAAGCGTCGAAGTCAATTTCAGCAGGGTGATCTTAAAAATTTACTCTGAAAAACAGGCTAATCAGGGTAAAATACCCTGACTTCCTGGGGCCTGCGGCTCGCTCCAATACTCCAATTTCAACCGAAATCTGAGTTGAGCTGGCAGCGAGTGTGCTTTGGGTTGACGAAACCTGGCATGGTTGCTCCAGCTACGGTAGCACTGGCGTTTGTTTCTAATTTACTCGAATTTCACCTCGTAAAACTCGGCATGCACGCACGAACGCACCGTGCACTCTCACCAACTGGGGCTCTTTGTTTTCGCGGCTGCTGCTTACGGCAGGTCATCGTCTCAGAAATCGCCTACTCGGCATGGGCGCGCACGAATGCACCTTGACGCTGACAACGCTGAGTTCCAACCGTCGATTCGGAGTCGCACGATCGTGCCCTAACCCCCAACGTGATCTTCGCACCTTATCCTGCTGGGTGGAAGCGGCGCTGTTGCGCGCACTTCTCATCCAAGCGGAAAGCCCCTGCCAGCGGCACACAGGCTATCGTTCTCTCGCGGATGCAGCTCACTCAACACACTGGCGCGGTGATCTCAGATTGCGGCAGCGGCTGCCAAGAAGCGGGGCAGCGTTCTCTCTCTCTCTCCCGTTGCTGTAAACGATCAGTGGGGACGCCGTGAAGCTGTTCTTAGCCATAGCGCTCGGCACGAAGCCGCCTTACGTACAGCTTTAGCGTGCAACCCGGAAGGTTTGGCTGGCTGGTAGATCGTCCGGCTATCGCTCCTTAGTAGCACGTTGGAATTCACTGATCCTCAGCAGAAAGCAGGTAGTAGCACCGATTCAATCGGTATATCACGGTGGGGATGGATTCTGAGTCGGGTCCAGCGCAAAAGTCCCCGTCGGATAGCCCTCGCGAGCTGCGTCAGATCTTCTTCAAGGCGGGTGTGCCCATGACGCCCAAGGAGTACCTGTGGCCCCACCCTGTGGCTTCAGCGACAGAAAAATCTGGAAAAACACCTGAGGGACCACCTCGGGTACGACCTGGTGTGGCACCTGACGACGATTCGTCCAACCGCCCCGCGGCAGAATCGTCTCGTAAAATCAAGGACCCGTGGAGATCGTCAGAGCTTCATCCTGCCGTCGATTCGCCGGAATTGTCTGCTAAAACGAAGGACTCCATAGCGGCTCCGGAAGCTGTTGCAACTGCTGCTGGTGGTAAGACCACGGACCCGCCTGGTGACAGCCCCGATGCAGGAACACGGGGAGACAAAAGGACGGAGGGGGAGGGAGGGACTCTCTCGTCTAAAGCTCCCCCTTCTGGTAAACGGAGGTATGGCAGCACGGTGATGCTTCCCCGGTCCTTGTTCAGGAGGAGGGGGCGGGATAGTCAGTCGGGGAAGGAACGTGAGTTTGAGATTGGGTCGGGGGAAACTGTTGAGTTGCCTCAACAGGGGCGCGAGATTGCGTCACGGGAAGGGAGAGGGGTTTCTGGAGGGGATGCGGGTGAGGAAATCCGTGCCGTTGGTGTCGGCGAGCAGTTGACGGCCGTTGATCTTGGACTGGAGAAAGGAGGCGGAAGGGCGGCAGCGGGAGAGAGGAGGGCGGAGGGGGAGGGGAGCAGTGCGGGGGAGAGGGGAGGGAAGGCGGAAGGGGAGGTGCAACCGCCAGGTGGTTTTGTGAAGAAGGAGAAGGGGGCCTTATCTGCTGAGAGTAAGGGGAGTGAGGAGAGTGAAGAGAGAGAGGAGGGAGAGGAGGGTGAGAAGAGAGAGGTGATCCATACTAAGGGCGAAGTCTTTGGAAGGGAGGGAGTCAGGGAAGGTGGAGGTGGAGAATCAGGGAGGGAAGCAGGAGAAGGACGGGGAGTGGTGCGAGGGCAAGAGGAGAGGGTTGGTACGGCTGGTAAGGCGGAGAGGGCGGAAGGCTCAATGGGAGTGATGACGCTGAGGCGCATGAAAGACGCACTGAGAAGCATGCTGTGGCTGCAACGGGTGCAGCAGACACGTACTCGTGCACCAGGTGAGCTGCAAGGCCCTTCAGTGGATGCTACTCCTCTTCTGCCTCAAGGGAACCTGCCTCCAAAGAGCGCTGTTATTAGTGTTCCAAGTGACTCCTCCGTTGCTGATTTCGCATTGCCTTGCTTTTCATGTCTTACTTTTGCCCATATCATGCTCTCCCTTCAGGCCCTCCTGTGGACGCGCCTCCCTCTCCTCTCAGCCACGTGCCTCCCAAGCGCACTGCCAGCCTCCCTAGCGACACTTTGCTGCTGCACCACGAGGTGCCTGCTGTGCCTGTAACGGAGCAGCCTCTAACGGGGATGAGGGAGGCTGCAATTCTCTCCCACCCTCTCCCACTTCCTCCTCCTGCTGCTACCACCGCTGCTGCCGCCGCTGATGCTGATGCTACTGCCACTGCTGCTGCACACAATCCTTTGAATTTAGCTCCAGGCCCCTTCCCTCGCAGCAGTCACATGGATGTGTCCCTTCAATACAAGCACATGGGAGAAGAAGGCCCTGTGGAGCACGAGCTCCACCGCCTTGGGATTGGATCCTTGAGATCTGATAAGGAGGCTGGAGGAGGGGGAGGAGGAGGAGGAGGAGGAGGAAGAGGAGAAGGAGAAGTAGGAGGAGGAGGAGAAGGATCGCAGAAAATTGAGCTGGGGAAGGAGGAGGATAATGAGAGGGAGAGGAGGGAGAAGAGACAGGAGGGTCTGAAGATGATTGCGCCAGACTGGGACGAGGTGGAGAGGCAGCACGAGGCGAAGGCAAAGGGGGTTCTGGTTTCCGGCCCAGCTCCTGTGGCGGGGAAGGGGAAGGGGAAGGAGGGAGGGGAGAGGGAGGGAGAGAGGGAGAGGGGAGGGGAGGTGGAGCAGGAAAGAGGTGTGGAGGAAGAGACGGAAATACTCCTATCGCCTCCCAGGAGGATAGGTGGAGACCGAGGAAAGGCGGGAGAGCTGCCACACAGCCCTCCACCTTCCCCAGTCTCACCTGCCCCAGTCTCACCTTCCCTTGTGTCACCTGTCTCGCCTTCCCCTGTGTCACCTCCATCCGGCTCACCACCCCGACATGAGAGCTCTGCTGAGAAGAAAAAAGTCACAAGGCCGAGGCTGAAACTCCCTTTCTTCTCGCCTCCTGCGCCAGTCACTGTCTCTGCTGCTGCCGGTGGCAGTGCTTCTGCCTCTGCTGCCAGGACCCCCCCTCGCCTTGACCTCTCTGCTGCTCCTCCGTCCCCTGCTGCGGAAGCTGCTGAGAAGCTTCGGGAGCGGGCGCGACGGATGGGGATAAGGCGTCAGGCGCAGTTTGAGGCAAGGGGAGCGCAGATGGGGAAGACTGAGAGGGAGGAGCAGGTGGAGGGGGTGTTTACAGCTGCAGAGAGGGAGAAAATGAGGGACACGCAAGGTAGCATTCAACAGGCAACCAAGGCACTCAAGGGAAGGTCGTCTAGCCTTGGAAGTCGGGGAAATCGGGATGAGATGGTTAAGTCGGATGAGCCAGTGGGTGTTGGGCCGGTTTTGAGTGGACGGGAGTTGAAGCAGATGAAAGGGACGCAAGAGATGGTGAAGTCTGCTTCTTGGAACCTGAAGTGGGACGCTGAGGAGTTCAGAGAAGAGTAACACGACGTCAGACGATAAGAGAGCACAATGTCGCTGGTTTTCTTGTACATTACATTTTCTAACTTTCTTCTGTTCTGTAATTGTGGCTTTGCATTCAGTGTTGTACATTCTTGTACAGATTTGTGACTGCCTAGTTTTGCTCAATGCTGGCTGTACGCGTTGTAACTCTTGTACAGTGGTACACCTACAATTTCTGCCTCACATCCTCGTCTTTCTGTTTCCCATCGAGGTTGTCAGCGGAGCAAATGACAAGTGGTAACTCATGGGGTGCGCTGAATTTCGTTTCAGTGCGATACAAAGAGTTTCCAACGCTTTCGAGTGGATTGAGTGTTTCAGTAGAGTGCTGCTGAAACTCGCCGCCAGCGCTATGCAGCTGCGGAGGTTTCGCCACGGCGCTGATTTCGCCGAGACGCCTCTTCTCAGCCTCTGCACATTGTGACCCCGCGTCGCGAAACTGACCGTTGACATACCCGCCAACAAACAGCGCTCACACTTGGTCACAAAATCGCAAGCTCAACTACTAGCACTGACATTGTTCATACCTCCAAGAGAATTGACCAGAATGCGTAATTTGGTGTTCATCAGGGAAAATTGACGAATACTGTCGTTCGTTTTATGACCCTTATGTATGCTGGGAGTCCGTCGTATGGCTTTCGTCTGGTCACGCTAGACCGCACGAGGGTAAACCAGGGCGACAGACAAAAGAATCTAGCAATATTCGACAGCCTAGTAATATTATTTTGTTTCCACTTGTAAGTAGCGTTATCGACGTATCACCGCATACTTGTTAGCGATAGCACTGGGAAGTGCTCAGCACAGCTCCGGGGCGCAGTGAAAGCACCGCCGGGTCCTTCTGAAGCGTCAGCAGATACAATAGGTGGTTTTTGAGCCGAATCAAACCGCCAAAAGTTTGGTTTTGCAGAAGCAGAAGCGGAGGGCGTTGCCTTCCACAAAAAGCCATGGCGCCAAATTACAGACGCTACGAAGCAGGGTCGCTATCCACGCCTGTTCCGAGATTGTCAGTCGCGCTCTTCTCAGCGTTATCACTGTCACTGGTGCTCCTTCTCGACCAATCCGCTCCTGCCACGTGTCAGCAATGTAGAGTCGATCAAGGAAGGTCAGCCTAACTACGCACTCACCCTCATGAATGCCATTAATACGTTATGAATCATGGCAAGTCACTTTGGTAAACACGTCAACACCTCTCTCCTTCTCTTCCTCCCTCCCTCCCTTTTTCTCTCCCTTCCCCACTCCCTCTCCCCCTCTCTTCCTCTCATACGAATAACTCGTAATCCTTGAAATGAACTTCCAATCAAACAAAGAAGTAATGTAATTCCAAAGCGTGCCCTTAACTTTCTCGCTTCCGTGTCCTGTCCGATCCCCTTCCCCACTCATTCCGCTCTCTACATTTGATTTCCTCGTTCCTTTTCCTCCACCTGACACTTCGCATTGAATTTTCACCTGACTGTTCACCTGACACGTCACCTTCCCACCTCCCGGTCTGCTCTTCTCCTAACCTCCGCAGCTGGGTGTACGACAGGATGTACGAGCCTGCTTATAACGGGTACACGTGCAAGAGCATCCGATCGTATTACAACTGCCAGCGCAACGGGCGAAAGGACACTGGGTACCTGAAATACGTGTGGAGGAGCCCTGGCTGCGATATAAGAAGGTGAGAGTCGTCAAGAGTTCTCCACTGCGTTGCTTATAACGGGTACACGTGCAAGAGCATCCGGCCGTATTACCACTGCCAGCGCAACGGGAGGAAAGACACTGGGTACCTGAAATACGTGTGGAGGAGCCCTGGCTGCGATATAAGAAGGTGAGAGTCGCCAAGGGCTCTCGAATGGCTGGTACACTTGCCAGCGCAAAGGGAAAGAGAATTTCCTGGTTATTTAACTTAAACAGAAGCTACGTTACTCGCACCATCAAACCTTCTGTCTCTGCTTTCCCTCTTTCTCCGCCCCTCCAATGTCTCTCACAGATTCAACCCCGTTAGAATGCTCTCCATTTTGCGCAATAAGGTGTTCATGTTTGTTGGCGACTCATTCGTTAACAACCTCGAGATCTCCATGCGCTGCCTGCTGGAGACAAAAGCGGTTACCAAGATACGTTCTTAGACTGCACGAAACACGCCCGTTTGTCACGCCACCCAGCCCAAGCCCTCCAACTCTTTCCTTCCTCCTTCATTGTGGTGTGAATCCGCTTCTCCCTCCTTTTGCTGCCGGCTAGAGACAAGAGTTGGTCTCCACTGCAAGAACGCTCTGGCCTCCTCTCGTCCCAGATGTCACTAGTTAATCCTTTCCCAAGGCTTGGAAGTGGAAACTCTTGCATCCTATCTTGCTCCGGAACTTGGAAACGCGAGTTTGCCCACTCGAGGATTCGAACCCCGAGCTTCTCATCCCTCTCACACCACCCTGGCCCGATCCGCCCACCGCTTCCCCTCTTTCCTTGCTATCACCGCTGCCTCTGTCCAGGACTTCAGGGGCAAATTCGGCCGCACGGGGATTCGAACCCGCGGCTTCATCATCCCGCAGTTCAACATCTCCTTCCTCCGCATGCCCTCCAACTTCCTAGTCCGATCCGGCCCCGTGGTGAGTGCTGCGTAATGGTTTGAGCTAGCGCTACTGTGGTGAGTCTGCTTTTGAGTCGACTCAAAAGCATGGTTTGAGCTAGCGCTACTGTGGTGAGGACATCCATATTGCTTAGCCTAGCGCTACTGTGGTGAGGACATCCATATTGCTTAGCCTAGTGCTTTTGACCCGCGGCTTCATCGTCCCGCCAACATCTCCTTCCTCCGCATGCCCTCCAACTTCCTAGTCCGATCCAGCCCCGTGGTAAGTGCTTTGAGCTAGGTGTCTTCCCTATGGTGAATACGTCTGGGCTCATGTTCCTGTGGCAAGTGCTTCTTTTGCCTAGGGCACTTGATTCCCTGGTGAGTATTCCCTTAGACCTTTTGTTGAGTGGGGCTCTATAAGGATAATCAATCTGCAGAGCAGCCGAATGTTACTCAAATCTATCCTCACTTCCTCTACACACTCCCCACTTCCCCTACACACACCGCACTCCTCTGTACCCTCAACCCTTCTCATTCAATCTCCTCCCCCCTCCCCTTTTCTCTCTGTCGCATCCCCTCCCCGCTTCTCTGTCACATCCTCTCCCCTCTTCTCTGCCCCTGCCCTCCCCCAGGGCGTCGCTTTCAGTGCAGCCGCGTGGAGGGTGCATCTGGACATGAACCCACGCCTTATTGCGCTCCTCCCCCTTTCTCGGTCAACCCCCTCCTCCCTTAACAGTCAGCTCCCCTCCTCCCTTCCCTGTCACATCCCATCCCCCCTTCTCTGCCCCTCCCCTCCCCCAAGGCGTGGCGTCCTGTGCAGGCGCGTGAAGGGTGCACTTGAACAGACCTGATCCAGCAAGAATACCCACCATGCCTGGAACCCATGCCTTTTTAGGTCCCTCCCCCATCCTCTGCAGGATTCCCTCCCCCCTTTGCCTGTCACATCCCCTTCCCCCTTCTCTTTCGCTTTCCCCCCCTTCTCGGTCACCTCCTATCTCCCAGGGCGTGGCGTCCAGTGCAGGTGCGTGGAGGGTGCATCTGGACAGGCCTGATTGGAGCAGAATACCCTCCATACCTTACTCAGTCCCTCCCCTGTTACCTTCTGTTCCCTTCTCAGTCACTCCCCCATCCCCCAGGGCGCCGCGTCCAGTGCAGGAGCGTGGAGGGTGCATCTGGACAGGCCTGATTGGAGCAGAGAACCCTCCATACCTTAGTCAGTCCCTCCCCTGTTACCTTCTGTTCCCTTCTCAGTCACTCCCCCATCCCCCAGGGCGCCGCGTCCAGTGCAGGAGCGTCGAGGGTGCATCTGGACAGGCCTGATCCGAGCTGCATACTCACCAGGCCTTGTAACTATGCCGTATTGTGTTCTTTGTCGCCTTTCCCCACCCCCACTTTTTTGTCACCCTCCCCTCCCCCAGGGCGCCGCGTCCAGTGCAGGCGCATGGAGGGTGCATTTGGACCGGCCTGATTCGACCTGGTTAAAGCTGCTACCCCACACCCACGTTATCTTCAGTGCCGGTCACTGGTTTATCAATGTGATCAATGTGAGTGGAGTAATATGTTTACATTTGGGTACACCCACTGCATGCACTTCAGCGCTGGTCACTGGTTTATCAATATAAGTGGACTGTTATGTTTATACGGGGTACACCCACTACGTTATATTCAGTGCTTGTCACAAGTGTAAGTGGGGTATAATGTTGGGAGACACCCATGACAGTTTTTTGTTTTTTGTTATCTGCTGCCGGTCACTAGGTAATGAATGTAAGAGCATCACCATTTACAACCAAGCGTAGCAGTTACATTGTATTTCTTCTTCTTTTTTCGTTCTGTGGATTCAGTATTGGTCGCTTTCAGGTAAGCACTCCAGATCTTGTTTATTCCCACACCCCCTGCCTTTGCCCTCCCCAATCCAGGCACCTTCAAACCTCCGCCTGTACTACCGCAAAAACAAGCTACTTCCCCCGTTTCCACGCCCCTACGCTCCCCTCTACGACGCACACTTAACCATTCGGAAAATCTTAGTTAACAGCCGGTATTCAGGACTTCCCATGGTGATGACCTTCTCAGCTTATCACTATAACAATGCGTTCTCTAGCGAGGATGCAGCCAAGAGCTGCATGGACATGCGGGGGCAGGTGATGAACACCACGAGGATGCTATGGGCAGAGAAGAATACGGAGACGCTGCAAGCAAGAGACGCACAAGTGAAGGTGTGTTTGGTATCAGTGAGAAACCCTTTCTCTCTTTCCATCAGCATGAGTGGGAGGTGATGAACGGCACGAGGATGGTATGGGCAGAGAGGAACACCGAGACGCTGCAAGCCCGAGACACACAAGTGAAGGTGCGTTTTGCGAGCATACCCTTCGTCTTTTCCTGCGTGAATAAGGGGGGAAGGTGATGAACTAGACGAGGATTTTGTGGGTGGGGAGGAACACCGAGACACTGCAAGTGATAGACGCACAAGTGAAGGTGCTTATATTGAACAACCACTCTGTACGCCTCATGCTTAGGGGGGAGTGGAGGGGGGCGGGTGGACGAGAATGGCGTGGGTGGAGCGGAACACAGAGGCCCTGCAAGTGAGAGAGAAGCAAGTGAAGGTGCATCAGCCTCTGCAGGTAAGTTCATTGGTGTGAGATTCTCGCTTTTTGTAAGCCCAGTTGCTTGCTTGCTCCACTTGTTCATCATTCACCCCCTCCCCCGTTCCTCCCAGTGCATGCATAGTAGTCATTCTCACAGCCATCTGTCAAACTCCAATCCATCTCTCCATGCACTTCCTCTCCCATTCTCTCCCCTTTACTCTCCACTCCACTACCCCCCCCCCCCCCCCCCCCCCCCCCTACCTTACCCTTACTTCTCCCCCTTCTCTCCCCCTTATCTACTGCTACTCTGCCCCTTCATTGCCGCTCTCTCACCAGGCCTTCAGCTCCTACCCCCAGTTCAAGATAGTGGACATCGCAAGGTCCTCCCTTGCCCGCCCAGATGCTCACCAGGGCCAATTTACAGGCAATGACCGCCCTGACTGCTCGCATTGGTGCGTGCCAGGTGTGCCGGATTCGTGGTCCGATATAGTGTACTCTTATATGGCTGGTGTTTTGAGGTGAATAAGCGCATGCCCAGCTGCGTAGTAAAAGGAATCGACATGTACCCTCCCCACTGTAAGTTAGTAGTGCACCCTCCCCACTGCTAAACCACCAGCAAGTTATTTTACTGGCTGCTCCTTGCATTTGGTGACTGACTGCCGTGCTGAACCTGGCTAATGGTGTTTTGAGATGGATACATAACGCATGCTATGCAGGAAGTAGAACATTATAGCTTTGAGATGCTAACACACAACACTTGAAATATGAGGCCATCACCGAGCAGAATGCACGAAATCAATATGTTAGCAGGAAAAGGCAGCACTCATTACAACATATACAACTGTTTCCTTGCTTGCACACAACAAAAGCACAAATGAGAGCTAAACAACACACACACACACAACTGGGGAAAGAAAATGCACCTAATCTGTTAGTACTGTATTAACACGGAGGGCCGAAACACACAAGAATCTTCTTAGCCGCCTTCATCTGGTAAGCTCGGGTGTCATGGAGCCTGGAAACTGGTAATGAAAGGCGGAAGGATGAGCTCCAGCCACGTGGTGCTGCATCTGAGGGATGTGTGGCATAGCAGGATGCTGACCATGCGGGATGCCACCGCCTGATGGCATCCCTCCCATACCAAGCTGCAGCGATGGATCCATGTGGTTCATACCCATAAAATCATGGCCCATAGTGTGACCCTGAGCAGTTGCCGCGTGGTGTAGTCGCTGTAACCGACGACTGAGTTCCATGGCGTGCGATCTAAGGACGCGATTCTCGTCCGTGATCTGAGCGTAGTGTCGTGAAGCCAAATTGTACTTTGTCACCATGTCCGTGTTTTCCGCTCGTAATTGAGCAACCTGCAAACATCCCCGCATCAATTTGGAAAAAATAATCAAAATTGTGGCTAAGGAAACGGACGCACGTTAAGAAAGATGCATCTGCACCCACCTGTTGCTTCATCTCGTCAAGGTGATGCTGCTTTCTTAATCGCGATCGTCTCGCTGATTCACGGTTGCTTAACATCCGCTTCTGCCTCTTCTCATCGACAACACCAGGGTCTTCATCAGAAGCCGGATTTGATACCCCAGTTCCATGATTATCGTGAACTCCGCCAGCTGGCTCCTGGTTGTCTGGTTCATGGCGCTCGTAAGACTCTTCGCGCTGCCGTTTCTCTGACTGATTCACGCTTGACCTAACCGTACCCTCAGATTTTTGCTGACCATAATCCTTACTATCTCCATCTCCAATTGACGCAAGGCGAAGCGTGCAATTCCCTGCGTCATCAGTGGAACGATTCGTCAAACAAGCAGTATCTTGACTCGCTGACTCCAATTTCCTCAAAGTGCTTCTATCTTCCCGTCCATCCGTCCTAACCTGGTCACTTCGGTTCTCTACAGTGCTGGAAGCCATTTTCTTGGGCTTCGCTATCTTCTTGACTCTGCTAGGATTTCCTGGAGCTGAGGGCCTGAATTGTGTGAGTCTGTCTGAAAGAGCAAAACACGTCAGCTGGGAGAAGGTTATCCACCGAAACCCTCGTTGAGTGGCCGAGCAGGATGTGGTGGGGGAGCACTGACGCGGCGACACATCGGCCGGGCGACAATAGGCAGTCAGCAGGCAGTCAGGCACCCCTTTTCGAGGGTCAATCTCCGCCCTCCGATTGGGAGTTGACGGTTGGTGGGTTCGAGGTGGTCCGTTTCCTTCCGTCCATTCATCCAGCATGCGATTTTCGCGAAAGCAGTTGTAACCACATCGACAAATTGTCGTTTCCCCAAAGTCAGAACAGCTACCCATGTCCACCAAAGCAGACCACAAGCCATTTGCGAGGCTAGGTTCCAACAGATTGACGTCATTGTGATTCGCACACCCTGGAACGTGGAGAGCTCTGGGGTCGGAGCCGACGAGGGCCACCAAATTCCTGACTCAAATTCGAGCGTTATCCACGCAGCACCACCTGGATAACGCCCCTTCCCATTCCGATAGAGAATGATTCGCTTCTGAATAATTACAAGACCCACATTCGATGTCATATGGAACACCAAGCATTCTGTTGGAACCTTCTAAACCTAACGAAGCAGCTCGGAATTGCCTCTACACCTTTGTTAAGACCAAATTGTTTGTTGAGAACCGTATCGAATATCACTGAGCCGCATCCAGACGAGCTTGTAGGGCACGTGCTTTTTTACCTGTGTCCGGGTGCTTCCTTCTGAGCGTGTCCAAGCTCCTGCTCTGTCCGCTCCTGCACGGGTACGACTACTGAACACTCTGGTATGTCAGGCTGACAAAACAAGGCTTCAAGCAAAGCAGTCTAGTCTGTGAAGCAACGATACGTAGGGAGCAGAGCAGCTAGTGAAGCGTGTTGAGGCAGACTGCGAGGAAAGTCAGCAGCAGGCGACATGAACACTCTGTCCGTTGCCTCGTCGGAAGCATGGGTAGCTTTTAGCGATTATCTTCAAATGCCGTCGGTTTTCGCGGCGATAATCGCAGCCGTCGCTTTATACATCTCGGCATCATGGCTCGCTTTCCTCCGCCGTCGCTCTTCCTTACCCCCCGGCCCTTCCCCATGGCCAATCCTCGGCAACCTCCCGGACCTGGGCTTCCTGCCGTACCGCGGCCTCGCGAAGCTCGCGGACAGGTTCGGTCCGATCATGACCGTGTGGCTCGGGTCGATTCCGTCTGTGATTATATCCTCCCCGGAGATGGCTTGCGAGGTGCTAAAGATTCAGGATAAGTTCTGCTCCTCCCGCCCGCTCTTACCCTTTATCGCATTCCTAACGAGCGGCGGGAACGACATTGTTTTTTCGCCGTCCAACGACCATTGGCGAATGCAGCGACGGCTGGCGACGCTGCATCTCTTTTCGTCGAGCGCCCTACAAAAGAGCCTACCTATTCGCGAGCAAGAGATTCGCGGCATGCTTGACGCGATAGCGGAAGTGGCTAATAGCGGGGATGCGAGAGGCGTGGAAGTGCGAGGGTATTTGAACCGCGCGACGCTTAACAACGTCATGCGATTGGCGTTTGGAAAGAGTTACACCTACCGCACCATCCGTCGCGCTGCCACCGCCGCTCCAGGAGAAATGCTCGAAGCTGCAGTGAGAATCGATTGGCAGGGACGAATCGCGGCGATGAAAACCAGCGGCGCGAAATCCGGCGAGCCTGCCGCGCAATCCGCGGCGGACGAAATGGAAGGCGAGAAGGTGATTGCGATAGTCGACGAGACGTTTAAGGTGGTGGGGACGTTCAACTTGGCCGATTTCATTCCGTGGCTGAGTCGTGTGGATCCCCAGCGGATCTACGCGCGCGGGAAGCGGTTAAAACCGTGTACAGAAGGGTTTGTGCTCGCATGCATTGAGGAGAGAAGCCAGATGCTGAAAAGGAGAAGGCGGGAAGAGGAGGAGGGAGGGGGAAAGAAGGTAGTGAGGGAGAGGCCGTTGGTAGATGGAATCCTAGAAGGGGGGGAAGGAGAGGGAGGAGAGGGAGGGGAGGGAGGGGAGGGAGGGGAGGGAGGGGAGGGAGGGGAGGGAGGGGAGGGAGGGGAGGGAGGGGAGGGAGGGGAGGGAGGTGAGGGAGGTGAGGGAGGTGAGGTGAATTTGGGAGAAAATAAGCTGGGAGGAAATGACTCAGGGGCGGAAGGTGGAAAAGGAGAGGAAGAAGGTGTGAAACTGGGGGCGGATGAGACAGGAGAGGAACGAGTGCTGGTAGATGCATTGCTAGAGTTGGAGGGTCAAGGGGAGGATAGAGTAATGGGGAAGGATAGGGTAACCAGAGAGGATATTATGCTGCTTTGTCTGGATTTGATCAATGCTGGCACGGACACCACTGCCAAGACTGTTGAATGGGCCCTCGCTGAGCTGGCAAGTCACCCTGCCATGCTGGAACGGCTCCAAGCTGAGGTTGACGCAGCATACTCCAAGTCAGCAGCAGTTGGAGCAGCCAGAGAAGCAGCAGTGGCAGAGAAGGCAGCAGGAGAAAGCATTAGGGAGCAGGGAGTTGAAAAGCATCACCTCCCAACATCTCTTCCAGTGCAGGAGATGCCATATCTTCAAGCGGTGATTAAGGAGACTCTGAGGCACCACCCACCAACACCGCTCCTAATCCCTCACATGACGACTGACAGGGTTGCTATTGGCGGATATACCATCCCTCCCAACACAATGATTCAGATCAACGCCTGGGGTATCGCGCACGATCCAAGAGCGTGGGTCAACCCCCATGAGTTTGATCCCTCCAGGTTCTTCGGCCCATCTGCTCCTGATGTGACCGGGCAGCATTATGAGGTGCTGCCCTTTGGTTCGGGCAGGCGTGTGTGTGCAGGTATGAATCTGGGGCTTGATCTTGCTGCGCGTATGCTAGCAAGCATTCTTTTGCGGTTTGATCTGAAGCTGCCCGGAGATGTGCTAGCAGCTGGTGGAGTTGACTTGGGAGAGGTTTTCAGCCTTACCACGGGACTGGCGAAGCCGCTACGGCTTGTGTTGAAGGAGAGAAAGCAGCTGAAATCGTAAGATGCCTCTTGCTCAGTTAAGGCATTGGAAAGGCACCACAGAGTGTGCAAAGAAGTTGGGAGGTCTTGTGTAGGGCGCAGATAGTAATCTGTTTGCTCAGTATTCTCATTTTATGGGGAGGGGGGGCTTCTGGACGAGCTCAGGAGGAAATCAGGATACCCTGGGGTGCCTTGCCCTGCCACTTTTCCTTGTGCTTGCATGAGGTCACCAGAAGATACGATGCTCCTCCTAGGAAAGCCTTTCCCATGCTACCGTAACTTATACGTGACACTGGCAACCTTTTGCACGTTTATCCCTTAGAATAGTCACATCATGTTTGTGCTTCTGCAGAAGAATCATACCAACACGATCACAATATGCAGCGCCAATCAAGAGTACGGAATATCTTTTTTTCCCCCACAATCCGAACCCTTCTCCTCTCCAGGAGTAGTTGTCACGTTGATTAAAAAGCAAGCTCACAAGCTACGATTGAAGGGGAGAGAGAAAAAAAACCAAGATGTGTAGCATCCTTGCAGGTCTGCTTCAGCAGACAAGTGCACGTCTTCACCACCATCCCTTGTGTCAAATTATATATATGTGTTAGTGTTGTCTAGGCTGTAGTGGGGTAGCCCTTATGGGGTACAACCTTAAAGTTAGGGTTATACTTATACCCTTGTTTCATTCAATCCAATCATTCCATTGCCTAGATTCTGAGATGGTAGAGCAGTAGGTCTTAGGACCTAAGTTCGGGCCCACCGGTTACTGCGTTACCTCACCTACAGCCTTGCCTGCCTTGCCTTGCCTGCCTAGCCTGCAGCCTGCGTGCGCCTCGAAGGCGCGCGCGTCTTTTTTTTTTTTTAGCGCGCGCCCCGCGAAAGCAGCCCGCAGCCCGCTGCTGCCCTGCGCGCCGCGCGCCCCGCCTGCGCCGCCTGGTCGCCCGCCGCCGCAGCCTCGCCACGCGCAGCCCGCAGCCACGTGTGCCCTGCCCGTGCGCCGCCCGTCGCTGCGCAGCCCGCCGCCGCGCACCCTTTGCCGCACGCAGCCCGCTGCCTGTGCGCCGCCCGTCGCCACGCAGCCCGCCGCCGCGCACCCTCTGCCGCGCGCAGCCCGCTGCCGCGCACGCAGCCTCCTGCCGCACCCAACCGCCGCGTACGAGCAGCCGCCACGATCGCCCCGCTTGTGCGCCGCCCGCCCTGCCCTGCCTGAGCCTGCCTGCCTCCTGCGCCTGAGCCTTAGCCTGCCTGCCTCCTGCGCCTGAGCCTGAGCCTTAGACTGTGCCTGCTGCATTTCCCCGCCCTGTGACCATGGCGACTATTACTGTTCTCGCCTTTGAGCCTGACGGCAGTCCTGTTCAGTTTGACACCTGGCTCAGTGACCTGCAGCTCTACCTTTTGACTAATGCTAAGGACGGAGCTTCTCTGCTAGACTTTGTCAATGGCAATGCCCCTGCTCCTGCTGCTACTACTCCTGCCTCTGATCGCGCTGAATGGCAGACCCGCGATGCCCTTGCCCGCCTAGCTATTCGCAACCACCTGCCTATCTCCGAGCGCGCACACTTCAACCAGCTTAAGACTGCTAAGGAACTGTTTGACGCAGTAGTTGCTTGCTATTCCGCCCCGGCCACTGCCGCCGTTGGCAGCCTCATCCTACCCTACCTTTTCCCCGACCTCGCCTCGTTTTCCACTGCTGCAGACCTCATCTCTCACCTCCGCGCTAGTGACGCTCGCTTTCGTGCCGCCCTCACTGAAGAGTTCCTCGCCAAAAACAAACCCCCCCTGTATTTTACCCTCTACATCCTAGTCACCCGCCTTCCCGACACGCTCCGTTCCGTTAGGGACTACTTCCTCGCCAAAGACCCTCCCACCATCACCCTAGATGACTTCGAGCAGCAGCTAGTTGCAGCTGAGAAGAACATTCTTGCTGTGAATGCTGCTCGTGGCACTCCCCGCACTCCCCTCTTTGAGGGATGCTCCCCCTCCCCTCTTTCCCCCTCCTATGCCTCTGCTGCTACTGCAGTTGACCTTCTCGGCGCTGAGAAGGTCAACGCCGCTTCTGCTCTTGGTGGGAAGCGCGGCGGAGGCAAGGGCGGCAAGGGGGGCAGGGGTGGCGGAGGTGGCGGTGGAGGGGGCGGTGGTGGAGGCGGCGGGGGTGGTGGAGGTGGTGGGGGTGGCCGTGGGGGTGGAAGTGGTGGGTGGGGTGGTGGCAGGACCGGGGGCGGTGGAGGCGGCAGCGGAGGTGGTGGAGGAGGAGGCAGCGGCACTGGTGGTGGAGGTGGGGGTGGAGGTGGATCTGGCCAGCAGAGTGGCACCAGTGGCGGCCAGCAGCAGCAGCAGCAGCAGCAGCCACAGCAGCAGCAGCAGCGTCCGCCTCTCACCTCCCAGCAGCTCAATGACTGGTATGCTGGGCGTGGGGCGTCTAAGGGCTCTGACCGCTGCCCCTATGTCATTCGCACAGGTCCCCGCCAGGGTCGCACCTGCGACGGTTTTCACACTGAGTTCCGCTGCTTCGCTAGGCTTAGTGACGCCTGGCGCGCAAAGTATCCTGATGCTACTGAGTTCCCCAACTGGGCAGATCTGCTTAGGCGTGGTGTTCCTATCTTTGATCTGGACTATGATGCTATTCTTGCTGCTATGTATGCATTGACTGTTAGTGCCGAGGGAGACTGTTACTTGTGTGTGCCGCCTGACCCAGGTATAGAGACTGCAGCCCTAGGTGCTAGTGAGTCTGCTCTCCCTGGTACTGCGTCCGCTCAGGCTTTGCACACGTTCACACTTGACTCTGGTGCTTCGCGCTGTTTCTTTCGCGACAGCACCACTGTCACCCCTCTCCCTGCACCTGTTCCTGTCTCACTGGCTGACCCCTCTGGGGGTCCAGTGCTTGCACGGGCCACGACTGTGCTTCCGTGCCCAGCGGTCCCGTCTGGTGAGCTGTCTGGTCTCCATGTTCCCTCGTTCTCTACGAACCTGGTGAGCAACGCCGTCCTTCAGGATCACTGGGTTGACACCTGGACTCCTGGAGGACAGCGTGTGGCGATCTGTACATGCTCCAAGACCGGCCGTCACCTGGCTACGTTCACCCGTCAGCCGGGGTCCAGTCTGTACACCCTCACCGCTGTTTCACGCTACACGCCTTTGTCTCCACAGCTGTACGCGTCTGCTCAGGTTGCCACCCAGTGTGAGTGCCGCCGCCTGTCCCACGACACTCTCCTTTGGCACCACCGCCTTGGTCACCCCTCCTTGCCTCGTCTTCGTAGCATGCACTCTCGCTGTCTGGTCTCTGGTCTTCCCAGGTCTCTCCCTGCCCTCCCTCCCTCGCCTGCGCCTCCCTGCATTCCCTGCGTCGAGGGGCGGCAGCGCGCCGCTCCTCACTCCTCCTCGTTCCCTCCCACAGAGGCTCCACTGCAGACTCTCCACCTGGACGTGTGGGGCCCGGCCCGCGTCCAGGGGCAGGGCCGCGAGCGGTACTTCCTGCTGGTAGTCGACGACTACACGCGCTACACCACGGTCTTCCCCTTGCGCAGCAAGGGGGACGTCCCTGCTGTTTTGATCCCCTGGATCCGCGCTGCTCGTCTCCAGCTCCGCGAGCGGTTCCAGTCGGACTTTCCTGTCTTGCGTCTGCACTCTGACAGAGGTGGTGAGTTCTCCTCCGACCTCTTGCGAGCCTTCTGTGAGGAGCACGGCATCACCCAGTCGTTCACGCTTCCGGCCTCTCCGCAGCAGAATGGGGTTGCCGAGCGCCGCATTGGCTTAGTCATGGAGGTCGCTCGTACCTCCATGATCCATGCGGCGGCTCCCCATTTTCTGTGGCCGTTTGCGGTCCGGTACGCTGCGCATCAGCTCAACCTCTGGCCCCGTGTCTCCTTGCCGGAGACCTCGCCCACACTGCTATGGACGGGGAAGGTTGGCGATGCGTCGCGTTTCTGGGTCTGGGGTGCTCGTGCGTTTGTCCGCGATACTACTGCGGACAAGCTCTCCGCTCGCGCCATTCCCTGTGTTTTCCTTGGCTTTGTTCCTGACGCGCCTGGCTGGCAGTTCTACGAGCCCACCTCGCGCCGTGTCTTTGCGTCTCAAGACGTCACCTTTGACGAGTCCGTTCCCTTCTACCGTCTCTTTCCCTACCGTACTTCTCCTCGCACCCCCCCGCCGCTCTTCCTCGCTCCAGGTCCTCCCCAGGTATACCCCCTCCCCGCGCCAGGTCCTGCTCCCTCAGGTGTTTCTCAGGTAGACCCTCCCGTGCCTGCACCTGTTGAGGTCACTGGTGACTCTGGTCCTGCTGGAGGTGGTGCTGTCGTTGGGGGTACTGGGCCTGGGGGTGGGGAGCTTGGGGGTGCTGAGCCTGGGGGTGCGGAGCCTACGCGTGAGGAGACTGAGGGTGCGGGGCCTGGGGGTGCTGAGCTTGGGCGCGAGGAGCCTGGAGGTGCTGCGTCTGGGGGTGTTGAGCCTGCGCGTGAGGAGCCTGGAGGTGCGGAGCCTGGGGGTGCTGAGCCTGCGTGTGAGGAGTCTGAAGGTGCGGAGCCTGAAGGTGCGGAGCCTGGAGGTGCGGAGCCTGGAGGTGCGGAGCCTACGTGTGAGGGGTCTGGGGGTGCTGAGTCTGGGGGTGCTGAGCCTGGAGGTGCTGGGTCTGAGGGTGCTGAGCCTGCTGGTGTGCGGTCCCCTTGGAGTGGCCGCCTTCGTCCGCGTGTGCCTCTCACCTCCCAGCAGCTGCACGACTGGTACGGTCGCCGTCAGGGTCGCACTACTGGAGCCCGGGGCTCTACTGCTGGAGGTCCTTCTGCTGACGTCCCTGGAGCCAGGAGTGGTGCTGGTGCTTTGCCTACTGGAGGTGCTGTGTCTGGGGGTGCCGTTGCTGGGGACACTGCGACTCGAGACCCTGGGACTCGGGGTGCCGATTCTGGGAGTACTGCTGCTGGTGGAGCTGGTCCTGGAGGAGCTGGCGCTGGGGGTGCTGGAGTTTCTGGAGGTGCTGGAGCTGCTGGAGGTGCTGGAGCTACTGGTGCTGCTGGTCCTGCACAGCCGCGACTGTTCTTCGCTCCGCCGTCTCCGTCGTCTCAGCCGCCCCCTGACTCTGTGCTTCGCCAGGTTCTTAGTCTTCCGTCTTCTACTGGTCTTCCGTTACTGCCTGGCTCACCGCTGCCTGCTCCCTCTCCTTACCCTGAGCAGTCAGGGGGCCTTACTGAGCGTCGTGAGCCTGCGTCGCGTCCTGTCTCGCCTGTTCGTTCTGGTAGTTCCACTCGTCGTGTTCCGCGTCCGCGTCCGCTGCCTGTCCCCACCGCGCACTTTGTCGTCCGTCGTCCTTCCTCTGTTCCACAGTCTGTTCCTCTGCCGTCTCCTCCTGCGTCTTCTTTGCCTCACGTTCCGGACCCTAAGTCTGACCGGTTTCGTGCTGAGCACCCTACTGTCATGCGTCTGCTCGCCACTGTTGTCACTGACCCCTCGTTTGAGTCTGCTGCTGCGTCTGCTTTGGTTGCTGAGCTTGTTGACTTTGCGGCTGCCTGTCGTCTAGACTACGCTGCTAGCCTTGTTGCTGAGTCTGAGCCTGTCTGTCCTCCGTTCGTCGGGGGTGAGTGTGCTCTTAGCACGGACGTCCTTGAGGACAGGCACGAGGACCTTGAGTGTCTTGCAGCCGCTGCGCCTCATCTCGTGGCCATGCTGCTTGCCCCTGAGGGAGACCCGGATGCTATAGACATCCCCACACCGCGCTCTTACGCTGAGGCGATCGCGGGCCCCTACTCCTCTCAGTGGCAGGCAGCCATGGACGCAGAGATGGCATCCTGGAAGTCCACAGGCACTTACGTCGATGAGGTTCCCCCTCCCGGGGCGAACATCGTCGATGGCATGTGGATTTTCAGGGTGAAGCGGCCACCAGGTTCTCCGCCTGTCTTCAAGGCTCGTTACGTTGCTCGAGGCTTCAGTCAGCGACAGGGAGTTGACTTCTTCCAGACCTTCTCCCCCACCCCGAAGATGACCACTCTTCGGGTTCTGCTGCACGTTGCCGCTCAGCGTGACTACGAGCTTCACTCCCTTGACTTCAGTACAGCTTTCCTACAGGGCAGCCTGCACGAGGAGATCTGGCTGCGCCGCCCACCTGGCTTCACTGGGTCGTTCCCTCCTGGTACCCAGTGGAGCCTCCGCCGGCCAGTCTACGGTCTCCGCCAGGCACCCCGTGAGTGGCACGACACACTGAGGACTACGCTTGCGGCTCTTGGGTTTGCGCCTTCGACTGCTGACCCGTCGCTGTTTCTGCGCACCGACACTTCGCTGCCGCCGTTCTATATCCTCGTGTACGTCGACGACTTGGTCTTTGCCACGGCTGACACTGCGGCACTCGCCCTGGTGAAGTCCGAGCCGCAGAAGAGACACACGTGCACAGACCTGGGTGAACTGCGCAGCTACCTTGGCTTGCAGATCACCCTGGACAGAGCACGTCGCACCATCACACTGACTCAGTCACACATGGTGCAGCAGGTCCTTCAGCGCTTCGGCTTCACCTGGTCCTTGCCACAGTCCACTCCTCTGGCTACAGGTCACTCGCTCTCAGCTCCACCTTCGGACGAGTCCGTAGAGCCGAGTGGTCCTTACCCAGAGCTAGTGGGCTGCCTCATGTACCTGATGACTTGCACTCGTCCTGACCTTGCGTACCCTCTTGGCCTTCTGGCTCGCTACGTGGCTCCTGGTCGGCACCAAAAGGTGCACTGGGATGCTGCGAAGAGGGTACTGCGCTACTTGTGTAGTACATCAGGCATGGGGCTCGTGCTTGGAGGGCAGAGTCCAGTGGTCCTCACTAGGCAACCAGACGCTTCTTGGGTTGACGACCAGGCTACACAGCGGTCGTCACAGGGTTACACTTTCAGCCTTGGCTCTGGTTTTGTTTCTTGGCGTTCTACTCGCTCGTCTTCTGTTCTCAGCTCCAGTTGTGAGGCTGAGATCTACGCCACAGCCATGGCTGCTCAGGAGTTACGCTGGCTCACCTACCTGCTGACCGACTTGGGAGAGAGGCCTCGTTCTCCTCCAGTTCTGTACGTCGACAACAAGGCTGCCATTGCCTTGTGTGAGGAGCACAGAGTGGAGCACAGAACGAAGCACATCGCTCTGCGTTACTTCTTGGCTCGAGAGTTGCAGCAGCGTGGTCAGCTTCGACTTGCACACGTGGCCACTCGGGCCAACACTGCTGATATATTCACCAAGGCACTTCCGTCTGGTGATCATCAGCGTTTTTGTACTTTGTTAGGCCTTGTGCCTACGTTTCCACACTTGCTGTAGTCTCTGCTTGTACTGTGATCTATATATACATATACCTGCATGCTTGTTCTTGCTAGGTAGTGATCACTGTACTGTTCTTGTTGCATATATACCTCTGCATGTGAACTGGCCTTGTGGCCCTTTGCTTGTGCTCAGTGTGTGGTGACGTTGTGATCCACCCTGGGTTTGCTTTGCTTCTCTTGACTGGTCGTGTGACCCCTTGTTCTCCCCCACTTTGCCTATGGGGTGTGTCAAATTATATATATGTGTTAGTGTTGTCTAGGCTGTAGTGGGGTAGCCCTTATGGGGTACAACCCAAAAGTTAGGGTTATACTTGTACCCTTGTTTCATTCAATCCAATAATTCCATTGCCTAGATTCTGAGACCTTGTGCCCAAGTTAGCATTGCCCACTGCACCCCTCCTCTTCCTCCACCTCCCCTCCCTCCCTCCAGCCCTCGTGCCTCTCATTGCACTCCTCAGTAGCAACCGATAGTGCGGAAAAGACTGATGGGATCTTCAGAAGATAATATAACTTGTGTGCGTGCAAAACACATGCATAGTAACTCTGTAACCAGCTCAACCCCTTACTATGGCACCCCTTGCAGCTCAACCAGCAGCATCAGCCATAACCGCCCCTGCCGCTACCTTTCTCTTCCTCACCACCACCACCCCCCTTAACAAAACACGTGCATGGTAACTCTGTAACCAGCGTAACCCCTCACTCCACCAACCATAGCACCTCAAGCACCCGCATCAGCCACCACCGCCCCTACCACTCCCTTCCTCTCCCTCAACACCACTCTGAGCGGCTTCGCCAGCATTGCGGTCAGCGCAAAATGTTCCGTCATGTCTACGCCCCCAGCTGCCTGTACATCTTCGGGCAGCTCAATCTGAAACCGGCGAATAAAATTCGCCAGCAGGCGGGCAGACAGGTCCGTCCCCAAGTTTAACCCAAGGCATCCCCGTCTGCCCGAACCAAAGGTCAGCAGGCTAAAATTCTGCCCGGTCAGGTCAGGGGCGTCAGGGCCAAGGAATCTGGACGGGTCAAATTCGTGCGGTTTGATCCAGACCGTTGGGTCGTGCGCTAGAGCCCACGCGTTGATTTGGATCATGGTGTTGGGAGGGATGTGGTAACCACCTAGAGTTACGCTATCACTTGTCATGTGGGGAATGAGGATCGGGGCTGTAGTGTGATGCCTAAGTGTTTCTTTTAAAACAGCCTGTAGATACGGCATGTCCGCTACCGGAAGAGAGACCATGAAATCCGTTCCTCCTGCTTCAGCTGCCCCAGTTTCAGCTTCTGCACTTGCTGACCTGGCATACGCCGCATCCACCTCAGCGCGCACCCTCTCCTGCATGTCAGGGTGCTGCGCCAGCTCAGCAAGCGCCCACTCCAGCGTCACCTGTCAGAGGTCCACTGGTGATCCCCGATCGATCCTAGGGAAGGGTTACAGGCACGTTGGCCTGGGGGGTTATGGGCGCACTCACCCGCTACACAAACAAGCCCTTTTATCCCAGTGGTTAGTGGCTGGGATTCTGACATGGTATCAGAGCGAAGGTCTCGGGTTCGAATCCCGGTGTGTGCACCTCGGGCATCCCAGTGCGGGGGGGTGTCAGAGGTCCACTGGTGATCCCCGATCGATCCTAGGGAAGGGTTACAGGCACGTTGGCCTGGGGGGTTATGGGCGCACTCACCCGCTACACAAACAAGCCCTTTTATCCCAGTGGTTAGTGGCTGGGATTCTGACATCACCGTCATGGTATCAGTCCCCGCCATCATCAATTCTAATACGAGCATCAACATCTCGTCTTTATCCATCTCATCCTCCCCTTCCCCTTCAATCTCAAACAACGCATCAACAAAAGCGGCTTCGGGTGCCTTTTGATCCGACCCCTCCTTACGCGACCCGTCCGCATTACCAGACGCGGCGCTTAAATCCTCAGCTGCGGATTCGCGGCTTGGACTCGGCGCGTCGCGAATGCGGGATTGATTTTTGGAATCCTTCAGCAGTTGCCGTCTCTCCTCGATGCACGCGCGCAGAAATCCGTGCAGCAGCGGCGTCAGACGTTCAATGCGCACGTATATGCGTTGCGGGTCCCTGTAGCTTAGCCACAGAACGTAATCCGTGAGATTGAATGGCCCGACAAGAGCAAAAGTTTCCTCCATGATCGCAAACGCAAGCTCTCCCTCCTCCTCTTCTGTCAGGGAGGATAACTTGGAAGAGTTACCTTCCGCCGCCGCCGCCGCACAGTTACCTTCCGCCGCTGAATCAGACCCCATCTCGCCGGTTCTTGTGGCGATGCGCTCGTTCCAGTCGATCTTCATCGCAGCCTCGAGAATCGCCTTTGGCGTGACGCCGGCCGCGCCGCGAATGGAGGAATAGCTGAAGCGCTTCCCGACAGTCAAGTGCATGATGTTGTTGAGGGTAACCCGATTTAGATACTTTCGCAGCTCTATCCCCTCGTTCGCCTCGGTGGCGGCATATTTCGCACCGTCTGCCGCTTCACTCGTTTTAGTCACATCTGTCGCAGCTGCGTCAGCAACGATCGCATTGAGCATGTCGCGAACCTCCCCTTCTCGCACAGGAAGGCTCTCCCGCAATTTCTTTGCATATAGAAGATGGAGCGTCGCCAGCCGTCGTAACTTTCGCCAACGGTCGTTGGGTTGCGAAAACGCGACGTTTTTTACGTCGAGGGTGAGAATAGCCAATGTTCGCGTCATCGGACGAGACGAGCAGAGCTTGCCATTCGTTTTAAGCACCTCTCGAGCGAGCTCTGGCGACGAGATTACCACTGACGGCGTGGAGCCGAACCAGACGGTCAGGATCGGGCCGTATCTGTCGGCCAGCTTCGCGAGGGAGCGGAAAGGCAGCGGTCCCAGGTCCGGGAGGTTGCCGAGGATGGGCCATGTGTTAAACTGTATTATGCTTGTAGGCTGTAGTGGGGTAGCCATTATGGGGTACAACCCCAACTAGGGTTTCATATTTGTACCCAAACTTCTGCTAGTTCATCCATTCTTGCCTAGTTATTCTGAAATGGTATCAGAGCAGGAGGTCCCTAGGACCTACCGACCGTTTTTTTAAGGGCCCACCACCGCTCGCATGCGGTTACCACGCTACCCCGTGCCCTAGCCTCGTAGCGCCCTCGTGCGCCCTCGTTAGCGCCCTCGCGCGCCCCTCGTTAGCGCCCTCGCGCGCCCCTCGTTAGCGCCCTCGCGCACCCTCGTTAGCGCCCTCGCGCGCCCCTCGTCAGCGCCCTCGCGCGCCCCTTGCTAGCGCCCTCGCGCGCCCCTCGCTAGCGCCCTCGCGCGCCCCTCGCAGCGTCGCCCGCCCGCCGAGCCGCCCGCTCGCAGCGTCGCCCGCCCGCCACGCTGCCCGCTCGTCTCTCGAACGCCGCGCTGCCTGCTCGCAGCGTCGCCCGCTGCCCGCTTCGCAGCCCGCTCGCCCCGCTGCCCGCTTCGCAGCCCGCCCGCCCGCTCGCTGCCCGCTTCGCGGCCCGCCCGCTTCGCTGCCCGCTCGCAGCGCCGCCCGCCCGCCCGCTACCTATTTCGCAGCGTCGCCCGCCCGCTTACTGCCCGCTCGCAGCGTCGCCCGCCCGCCCGCTGCCCGCTTCGCCGCGTCGGCTCAGCACCCCCAGTCGCAGCACCCCCAGGCTCAGCACCCCCAGGCGCTCACTTCATGACTCTGCGTCCCTCTACTGCTCCTCAGCGTGTCCCTCTACCGTCTCCTCCTGCGTCCTCTTTGCCTGCTGTTCCGGACCCTGAGTCTGACCGGTATCGTGCTGAGCACCCTACTGTCACGCGTCTCCTAGCTACTGTTGTCACTGACCCTACCTTTGAGTCCTCGGCTGCGTCTGCTCTGGTCGCTGAGTTAGTTGACTTTGCTGCTGCCTGTCGTCTAGACTGCGCTGCTAGCCTTGTTGCTGGGTCTGAGTCTGCGTCTGTCTGTCCTCCGTCCGTCGGGGGTGAGTGTGCTCTTGGCACGGACGTCCTTGAGGACAGGCAGGAGGACTTTGACTCTCTCGCGGCTGCTGTACCTCATCTCGTGGCCTCGTTGCTTGCCCCTGAGGGAGACCCGAATGCACTAGACATCCCCACTCCGCGCACTTACGCAGAGGCGATCTCGGGTCCCTACTCCTCTCAGTGGCAGACAGCCATGGACGCAGAGATGGCATCCTGGAAGTCCACAGGCACCTACGTCGACGAGGTTCCCCCTCCTGGGGCGAACATCGTCGATGGCATGTGGATTTTCAGGGTGAAGCGGCCGCCAGGTTCTCCGCCTGTCTTCAAGGCTCGTTACGTTGCTAGAGGCTTCAGTCAGCGTCAGGGGGTCGACTTCTTCCAGACCTTCTCCCCCACCCCGAAGATGACCACTCTTCGGGTTCTGCTGCACGTTGCTGCTCAGCGTGACTACGAGCTTCACTCTCTTGACTTCAGCACAGCGTTCCTGCAGGGCAGCCTGCACGAGGAGATCTGGCTGCGCCGCCCACCTGGCTTTACTGGGTCGTTTCCTCCTGGTACCCAGTGGAGCCTCCGCCGGCCAGTCTACGGTCTCCGCTAGGCGCCACGTGAGTGGCACGACACACTGAGGACTACACTTGCGGCTCTTGGGTTCGCGCCGTCTACTGCTGACCCGTCGCTGTTTCTGCGCACAGACACGTCGCTGCCGCCGTTCTACATTCTTGTGTACGTCGACGACTTGGTCTTTGCTACTGCTGACACTGAGGCACTCGCTCGTGTGAAGTCGGAGCTGCAGAAGAGACACACCTGCACTGACTTGGGTGAGCTGCGTAGCTACCTTGGCTTGCAGATCACCCGGGACAGAGCTCGCCGCACCATCACCCTGACTCAGTCACACATGGTGCAGCAGGTCCTTCAGCGCTTCGGCTTCCAGTTCTCCTCACCACAGGCCACACCTCTGGCTACCAGCCACTCGCTCTCAGCTCCACCTCCGGACGAGTCCGTAGAGCCGAGTGGCCCGTACCCAGAGCTTGTGGGCTGCCTCATGTACCTGATGACTTGCACGCGACCTGACCTCGCGTACCCTCTTAGCATCCTTGCTCGTTACGTTGCGCCTGGGAGACACAGGCGAGAGCACTGGGAGGCTGCTAAGAGGGTGCTGCGCTACTTGTGCAGTACATCAGGCATGGGGCTGGTGCTTGGAGGACGAGACAGAGTTGTCCTCACTGGCCACTCGGACGCTTCTTGGGTGGACGACGCAGCGGTCGTCACAGGGTTACACCTTCAGCCTTGGCTCTGGTTCTGTCTCGTGGCGGTCCACCCGCTCTTCCTCTGTTCTCGGCTCTAGTTGTGAGGCTGAGATCTACGCCACAGCCATGGCTGCACAGGAGTTACGCTGGCTCACCTACCTGCTGACTGACTTGGGAGAGCGGCCTAGTTCTCCTCCAGTTCTGTACGGTGACAACAAGGCGGCTCTTGCCTTGTGTCAGGAGCACAGACTGGAGCACAGGACGAAGCACATTGCTCTTCGCTACTTTCTTGCTCGAGAGCTTCAGCAGCGCGGTCAGCTTTGGCTTGTGTACGTGGACTCGAAGGCCAACACTGCTGATATCTTCACCAAGGCGCTCCCGCCTAGTGATCATCAGCGGCACTGTACTTCTTTAGGCCTTGTGTCCACGTTTCCTCACTTGCTCACTGCTTGACATTCTTTGTACTGTACTTTATATATATCTTGTTGCTTGCTTGCTAGGTTTTGATCACTGTGTTGCTTGTCTTGTACTATATCTAGCACTGCATGTGAACTGGCCTTGTGGCCTTTACTTGTGCTCGGAGTGTGGTGACGTTGTGATCCACCCTGGGCTTTGCTTTGCTTTGCTGGACTGGTCGTGTGACCCTTTGATGGGGGTGTGTTAAACTGTATTATGCTTGTAGGCTGTAGTGGGGTAGCCATTATGGGGTACAACCCCAACTAGGGTTTCATATTTGTACCCAAACTTCTGCTAGTTCATCCATTCTTGCCTAGTTATTCTGAAACCATGGGGTAGGGTCGGGGGGGAGGGAGCGACGGCGGCGGAGGAAGGAGAGCCAGGAAGTGGAAATGAGAACCGCGACGGCGGCGACAATGGCTGTGATGAGAAATTGCGAGTCGGCTACTAATCGAATAGAGTCCATGAGGCTTTACGCGGCTACGGGGGGGAGGCTTCAAGCGGTTGAAGTGGGAACCGCTGCTTGGAGAGTGGAACACTGCTCTGGAGAACCTTACTGTGCTTGAGCTGCAGCCGCGGTGACTGGAGCTGTCTTTCCTAGAACCCATATATCCTAAAAAGAGTCCAAGCCTGAACTGAGTCTCTCGCTGCTAGAAGTGCTGAGCTGCTGAGCTGCTGAGCTGCTAGGCACCTGAGCTGCTGAGCTCAGTGAGCTCAAGAGAGAGTCGAGGAAACATTTGCCTTCGTTCTGTCGCCTAGCCCCACTTTGTTTTGGCCTGTGAAGTAGGGAACCAATTGATGCGAATGGAACTGCGCATGCGTGCGAAACCCGCCGCCTCGTTGCTGCGAGTTGGAAGTGAATGGAATGTGTAGAGAAAGTCGGGGCGCGCAACGGAAAAGCAAATGCTGCAAATGCTGCAAGTGTCCCGCGAAGCCCCTCGTGTTTCGCGTACCCGTTAGGGCGGCTCCCGATGTTGGTGAATGTTTCCAGTACATCCGGACTGTTGAACCCTGGGCGGTAACGTAGAGCGGTGAATAATAAAGCCGTTCTGAAATGCATCATTATCGTGCTCAACCGCTTGTACCGAACTTCGGGACTACCCTTAGGGAGCGTGACTGTTTGAAGGCTCACATTTCACGTATCCACCGTTCGGAGCGGTGAGTCGCGGTTCAAAGTGGCAAACCAAACAAACTGCTCGATATTCCACACATTCTTACTTCAGCCCAAGAGGTGACTGTGACCCGCCCAGCATATTCTTCGCTCGCCAAGCACGCACCACATACATAGCGGCAAGGGAAGCAGCCACGTAGACAGCAGGAGGTATGGTCATTTGTTCCGTTGCAGCCGCCTCTGACGCATGGATGCTTAGTACCAACTCGTTTCAATCGTCGCCGTTATTCGCGGCGATAACCGCAGCCGTCGTGTTGTTCGTCTCGGCATCGTGGCTCGCTTTCCTCCGCCGTCGCTCCTCCTTACCTCCAGGCCCTTCCCCATGGCCAATCCTAGGCAACCTTCCGGACCTGGGCTTCCTGCTGTACCGCTCCCTCGCGAAGCTCGCGGACAGGTTCGGTCCGGTCCTGATCGTGTGGATCGGGTCCATCCCATCTTTGATTATATCTTCGTCAGAGTTGGCCCGCGAGGTTCTTAAAACGCACGATAAGTTTTGCTCCGCGCGCCCGCTTCTACATCTTATCGACTTCGCGTCGCACGGTGGAAAGGACATATTTTTTTCGCCATCAAACGACCATTGGCGAAAGATGCGACGCCTGGCGAAGCTGCATCTCCTATGTTCGCGGAGACTACAGGAGACTCTGTGGGTTCGCGAAGCGGAGATTTGCGACATGCTTGACGCGACTGCGGCAGTCGCTAATAACTGGGATCCGAGCGGCGTGCAAATGCGGGGTTATTTGAACCGCGCGACTTTGAACAACATTCTGCGACTGACAGTCGGAAAGAGTTACACCTACAGCACCGTTCATCGCGCTGCTGCCGCCGCACCAGGGGAAATGCTCGAAGCGGCGCTGAAAACCGACTGGCAGGGCCGCATCGCCACTATCAACGGCGCGAAATCCGGCGAGTTGGCGGCTATTGCGGAGGACGAAATGGAAGGCGAGAAGGTGATTGCGATGGTCGATGAGACGTTTCAGGTGATGGGAACATTCAATCTAGCCGATTTTATTCCATGGCTCAGCCCTCTAGATCCGCAGCGCATCTACGCTCGCGCGAAGCGGCTGAATCCGCGCTTCGAAGGATATGTGTTGGCGTGCATTGTGGATAGAAAGCAGATGCTAGAAACGCGGAGAGGGAGAGCGGGGGAACGGGGAGTGGAAGAAGGGGACAAGAGGGAAAGGGCCGTGGGACCAGAAAGGAGGCACAAGAATGATGGGGAAGGTGGAAAAGGAGAGGGAGGAGAGGTGAAGGTGGGGAAAGTTGAGTCAGTGGCGGAACGAGTTCTGGTAGACGCTTTGCTAGAAATCGAGAGCCAAGGGGAGGAAGAGGTAACTGGAAAGGATAGGGTAACCAAAGAGGATATTATGCTGCTGTGTTTGGATTTGATCAATGCTGGCACGGACACCACTGCCAAGACTGTTGAGTGGGCCCTTGCTGAGCTGGCAAGTCACCCCGCCATCCTGGAACGGCTCCAAGCTGAGGTGGATGCCGCATATGCCAAGTCAGCAGTTGGATCAGCCACAGAAGCATCAGCGGCGGAGGAAGCAGCAGGAGAATGTAACGGAAAACAGCGCATTGCTAAACTATCTCTCCCAGTACAAGAGTTGCCTTATCTTCAAGCGGTGATCAAGGAAACTCTGAGGCACCACCCCCCAGTACCGCTCCTCATCCCTCACATGACAACTTCCAGTGTTTCTATTGGCGGATACACCATCCCTCCTGACACAATCATTCAGATCAATGCCTGGGGTCTCGCTCACGATCCAACGGTTTGGGTCAACCCCCATATTTTTTATCCGAACAGGTTTCTCGGCCCGTGGGCCCCTGATGTGACCGGGCAGAATTATGGTGTGTTGCCGTTCGGTTCGGGCAGGCGTGTGTGTGCAGGCATGAACTTGGGGCTTGATCTTTCTGCACGCATGCTAGCGAGCATTGTTTTGCGATTTGATTTGAAGCTGCCTGAAGATGTGTTGGCTGCTGGTCGATTTGACTTCGGAGAGCATTTTAGTCTCACTTGGGCACTGGCTAAGCCTCTACGACTTGTGTTGCGGGACCGGAAAGGGACGCAGGTGAAGCAGGCTCATTTTCAGTGAAGGCATTGGATAAGGCTCGTAACGTATGAAAAAATGCTGGCAGGTGGCCTTCATAGGATGCATAAAGTAATCATATTGCTCAGAGTTTTTTATCTTGAGTGCAACCTGTCCTTGTGTTTGCAAGAGTTTCTTATGGATGCTCTTGGCTGTGAGTGTGTATATTCAATTTACCCTACTTCTCAAAGATTCATCATAATCGCCATTTACTCACCTCACCTCCATACAAGCACATAGATGTGCTGGATGTGAGCGATGTAGTACACCCTCTCTCGCTAGACTGACCTCGGTTATACTAAACAGCATGGTTGAGACTGTTTAGGGATGGTTCGGTATGGTCTATTCAGACATTTTGAACAGAATCAGCCTGCCAGATACCCACTACACCTGTTCCGCCTTATTTTCAACGCCGTTATCTTCAAGCCCTAGGAGAACTACCCTAGGTCAGGCTAGGTCATGGGGGTAGTTCAAGTAGACTGAATATCAGCGGGTGGATAGACGCGCATACCCCACGCGAGTTAACTGCAAGCAGCACATTCGTCATTGCCAAACCGCCCGTTCAATCGCAACCCTAAGTGCGAGCTTCGTCGCACTGGATTGCCTTCCGTACTTTCTGATATCCCTGTAATCTTTGGGTGTCCGTCTCGCTAGACAGAAAAGTATTTGGGGTCTCTTTAAAAACACGGTCGAGGCTTCGAAAATAAGGCGGATAAGGGTGTAGTGCGAAGGTGGAGAATGAGGGTGTAATCGCACACTCTGATTGGGCCGAAGTTTGGCCCCTCCTTCCGAAGCCCGGGGTCCGAACCCAGCCGATGCCTTCGGCGTCGTACCCCCAGCACGCGAAGCAGGCCCAGGCTGGCACTGGGGCACGCGGCCGACCCCTTAGCGTGCTTTCGGAGGGTCGACCCTTCGGCCCCTGCCAGGAACACGAGGCCTCAACTGCTCCTGGGAAGCACGCTGACTCAGCAGTGGGGACCACACCCTCGTTCGGCTCGAAACACCAGTGAGCGGCCGTGTGAGGTCCCCGTTACAGATAAAGATGAAAACGAAAAGTGAGGCAGCATCTCATAAAAATCGCCCCCCACTCCGCACTGACTTCACAAGGTGTAAGCGCGGACGAATTGTGTTCACGAAATTCTCTTTCCGCCCTGCTTGTCAACCACGGTGCCACGCCCTTCTTCCCACGAAAATGCACCGGGCTTGCATCCACTCGCGAGATTTTTTCCTTAGGGTTGTAACAAACCTCCACCCATCCACCCCAACCAGGCAACATTGTTGATGCGTTGCTGGGTGTTTGCCCCGGAATTCGCGGAAACGTTGTTTCGCGCGGGTGTCATAGCCCGGGTGATCGTGGGGTTTGCCTGCTGATTTGGCTCTGAGCGAACCACGAATTTACCCTGAATTGTCCCTGCACAGCGGGCTTTCACCCGGTGGCGCGAAAAGTCCTGCTGACTCACGCTCGTGGGATTTTTTGCGCTAGTTTCTGGACTTTTCCCACTCGTGTTCGCGCACTCATATTTGGCCCAATAATCGTGTTTCACGGAAACTTACAGAATTCACTTCGCTGGTGGATTTCGCCAGGCGAGTTCGCGGATTTCTAGTTTCTGTAGTTCAGTTTCTTGCTTTCTATACTTCTAACAGATGGAGTTTTCGCGCGTAACTATTCCCAGGGTGGAGTGAAAAAACTTGTCCTTCCGCAAAACGCCTGAATGTTCGCGGATTTTCAGCGGGTTTTTCCGTGCGAAAGACTTTCTACTAATGCGAAAATTTACGGGACACTTTCAAATTCGTAGTTCGTTTTTGAGGATTCAGTACGGTAAACCGCATAATATTACGGTTTAAAATGGTAGAGTCTCAGAACCGTTGTTAACCTTGTTGTATCGTACTTGACCGCGGGAAAAAAACCCAAAACATACACGCAGAAAGTTTTTTGCTACGCTTGGGAATATCACCAGGCATTTTCGCAGATTTCAGGTTTTTGCTGCTCGATTTCTATTTTTTGCACTTTATTTTATCCCAGAAACTGCGGATGTTTTCGCGCGCGATACTTTTGCTTTCGCAACATGAAATGTACGAATTGTGATGGCACGCGAATAAGCCGCGGATGTCGGTGGTGAGAACTTTGACAGAAACGCCACCGCGAAAACTTCTTCAAGCACTTGTCTTTGCCTCAGAATTCGTGGCACGCTTGAAGCGATTCGTTTTCGGTGGTGAATATCGCCCGTGTCTTCGCGGATATTTAGCTTTCGCTTAACCGCTTATCTTGAGTTCTCTCCGCAACAGCGCGAATATCTGAGTGCGAAACTTTCGAGAGGTGCCACAGATGTCGGTGGTGCCTCTGCAAATACAGTGTACATTTGCCCGATTGTTTCGCGGTCATGATTTGTCGGGGTCACGAACGTAGTGCCTTTTTCGGTTAGTGTTTTCGTGTCACTGCACACACGTGATTCCGCGCGGGTGAACTCGTTATTTGTCGCGATAAATGTTATCAGGAATCTTCATGCGCGCGAGGAAATTCCCCACGCCCGTGCGTTTCCCATTTCCCCCAGTTTTCGTGGGGTGCGAGGAATGCAGTGCCAGATACGGTTAAAAACGGTAAGAACCTCACACCGCTGCTAATCCTATTTGTACCGTATTTGACCGCGGGAAAAAAACAAGAAACCGTTCACCATTGTCGTTTCGCATCGTGGGTGGATATCACTAGAAGCGTTCACGGATTTCAGATATTTGCTGCTCGGTTTCTACTGTTGTAGTTTGTTTTATCCCAGCAACTGCTGATGTTTTCGCGCGGGAAACTTCACTGGGTGGCTCGAGAAGTTGTGCTGCTTGGTGGCGCGAAAACTTTTGTGTGTGCTGTAGACCTAGCCCGCGGTAAATTCACCGCGCGGACGTTTTTCTTCCAGGCACCCTTTGTGCGTTTCCGGGTAATTAGACGGGCACCCAGAAACTCCGAGGCTAGCAGTATACAGCTAGGAAGCATTTCAGTCTCAGAAACTGGCACTTAGTGACCCGAGATAGGGAGGGATTGGCATTTACAAAATTTAGTCTCTCCATCATCTGGCGAAGGGAATGCGTGATTCTACCCTCTCCGAATCCGAAACTACCTTCATAAACTAACTTAACCGCGGGAAAGTATGTTAAACTGTATTATGCTTGTAGGCTGTAGTGGGGTAGCCAATATGGGGTACAACCCCAACTAGGGTTTCATATTTGTACCCAAACTTCTGTTAGTTCACTCATTCTTGCCTAGTGATTCTGATATGGTATTCAGAGCAGGAGGTCCCTAGGACCTACCGACCGTTTTTTTTTTTTTAAGGGCCCACCACCGCTCGCATGCGGTTACCACGCTACCCCGTGCCCTAGCCTCGTAGCGCCCTCGTGCGCCCACGTTAGCGCCCTCGCGCGCCCCTCGTTAGCGCCCTCGCGCGCACCCTCGTTAGCGCCCTCGCGCGCCCCTTCGTTAGCGCCCTCGCGCGCCCCTTCGTTAGCGCCCTCGCGCGCCCCTTGCTAGCGCCCTCGCGCGCCCCTCACTAGCGCCCTCGCGCGCCCCTCGCCGAGCCGCCCGCTCGCAGCCCGCCCGCCCGCTCGCTGCCCGCTTCGCGGCCCGCTCACTACGCAGCCCGCCCGCCCGCTCGCTGCCCGCTTCGCGGCCCGCTCGCTCGCTGCCCGCTTCGCGGCCCGCTCGCTACGCAGCCCGCTCGCTCGCTGCCCCCTTCGCGGCCCGCCCATTTCGCAGCCCGCCCGCCCGCTCGCTGCCCGCTTCGCGGCCCGCCCGCCTCGCAGCCCGCTCGCCCCGCTGCCCGCTTCGCGGCCCGCCCACTTCGCAGCCCGCCCGCCCGCTAGCTGCCCACTTCGCGGCCCGCCCGCATCGCAGCCCGCTCGCCCCGCTGCCCGCTTCGCAGCCCGCCCGCCCGCCCGCTGCCCGCTTCGCGGCCCGCCCGCCTCGCAGCGTCGCCCGCCCGCCGTGCTGCCCGCTTGCAGCGCCGCCTGCCCGCCGCGCTGCCCGCTTCCCGGCCCGTCCGCCGCGCTGCCCACTCGCAGCGTCGCCCTCCCGTCGCGCTGACCGCTTGCAGCGCCGCCTGCCCGTAGCGCCAGCCTCGCCCGCTGCTCTCTATCCGTGCACAGTCGCCTTCCCCTGCTGCGGCAGCTTGCGTTACTCTGTCACACTGTCGCTATGGCTTCCATCCGCGTGCTGTCGTTCGATGCTGAGGGCCGCCCTGTGCGGTTCACCGCTTGGCTAGATGACCTGCAGCTGTTCCTCCTGAGCGATAGCAAGGAGCATGTGTCGCTCTATGACTACGCGTCTGGTGCTGCGCCTGCCCCTCCTGCCACAGCTGAGCTTAGTGTTCGTTCCCACTGGCAGACTCGTGACGCAGCTGCTCGCCTAGCCATTCGCAGTCACCTGCCGTTAGCTGAGCTAGAGCATTTTGGCGACTGCAAATCAGCTAAGGCCCTGTACGACGCTGTCGTCGCTCGCTACTCCTCGCCTGCCACAGCCGAGCTTAGCCGCCTCATGCTGCCGTACCTGTTCCCCGATCTGTCCACCTTTACTACAGTCGCCGATCTTATCACCCACCTTCGCACTAGTGATGCTCGCCTGCGTGCCGCCCTTCCCACCGAGTTCTGCGCTAAGAACCCCCCTCCACTGTACTGGACACTCCACTTTATAGTCACTCGTCTCCCTGACACCCTCCGCTCAGTTCGAGACCACTTCCTTGCTCGCTGTCCCACTGAGCTCACAGTCGCCCTCCTAGAGGAGCACCTGCTCGCGGCCGAAAAGAGCATTGTAGCTGTCGGTGCTGCTCGTGGCGCTCCTCGCACCCCCATCTTTGAGGGGTGTTCTCCCTCTCCCCTCGCTCCCTCCTACGCTGCTGCTGCTGCTGTTGACTTCCTTGGTGCTGAGTCTGTTGGCGCTGCTTCTGCTCCTGGTGGGAGGCGCCGCACCGGCAAGGGCAAGGGGGGCAAGGGTGGTGGTGGTGGCGCTGGGGGGGGAGGAGGTGGGGGAGGTGGGGGGGGAGGCGGTGCTGGAGGGAGCGGTGGCGGGAGCGCTGGTGGGAGTGGGGTCGGTGGTGGAGACGGGGGCGGCGGAGGAAGCAGTGGCAGTAGTGGCGGCGGCGGCAGTGGCGGCGGTGGCGGTGGTGGCGGTGGTGGCGGTGCCGGTCGGAGCGGTGGTAGTGGTGGCGGCGGAGGTCGGAGTGGAGGCACTGGCTCGGGCCAGAGCTCCCAGCAGCAGCAGCGTCCCCAGACGACCCAGCAGCTTCGTGAGTGGCTTGCTCAGCGTGGGACGTCGGGGGCCAGTGCCCGCTGTTCTTATGTCATTCGCACAGGTGACCGCAAGGGACAGACGTGTGGGAGGTTCCACACCCCGTACCGCTGCTTCTCCCGCCTTGACGACGCTTGGCGTGAGGAGATGGGTGCGGATGTTGAGCGCCCCCGCTGGGCTGAGCTCATGAGGGCTGGTGTTGATGTCTTTGCTCTTGACTATGATGCTATTATTGCTGCCATGTATGCATTGACTGTTAGTGCCGAGGGAGACTGTTACTTGTGTGTGCCGCCTGACCCAGGTATAGAGCCCGCTGCCCTGGGTACTAGTGAGTCTGCTCTCTCTGGTATGGTGCCCCCTGTACTTGCTCCCCCCAGTGCTGTCCCGGCTGGTTTCGAGTCTGCTCTCTCAGGTACAGCACCCACACAGACTGCTCTCTCAGGTACCGCACCGGCTGAGGCCTGTCACACCTTCACCCTTGACTCAGGTGCTTCCCGTTGCTTCTTTCGTGACAGTACTGAGCTCACACCGCTTCCTGCACCGGTCCCAGTCTCCTTGGCTGACCCCTCTGGGGGCCCAGTCCTTGCCCAGTCCACCACTGTCCTCCCTTGTCCGGCGGTTCCGTCTGGCTCGTTGTCGGGTTTCCACCTCCCCTCGTTCTCGACGAACCTGGTGAGCAACGCTGTCCTCCAGGATCAGTGGGTTGACACCTTTACCCCTGGCGGACAGCGTGTGGCGATCTGCACGTGCTCCAGGACTGGCCGTCACCTGGCTACGTTCACCCGTCGGCCGGGGTCGAGTCTCTACACACTGACCACTGCGTCTCCCCAGGTAGCTGCTGTCGGTCAGGTGTCTGCGTCAGGTCTGGTGGCCCACGCCTGTGAGTGTCGTTCCCTGTCGCACCAGACTCTTCTCTGGCACCACCGCCTGGGTCACCCCTCCTTGCCACGCCTTCGTGGCATGCACCGTCGCCTCCTTGTGTCCGGTCTTCCCAGGTCCCTCCCTCCCCTCCCTGCCTCGCCTGCGCCGCCTTGCCTTCCTTGCGTCGAGGGGCGGCAGCGCGCCGCTCCTCACTCCTCCTCGTTCCCCCCGACAGAGGCTCCTCTGGAGACCCTCCACCTGGACGTGTGGGGCCCAGCCCGCGTTCGTGGTCAGGGCGGTGAGCGGTACTTTCTGCTGGTTGTCGACGACTACTCGCGTTACACCACGGTCTTCCCCTTGCGCACCAAGGGTGAGGTCCCTGCTGTTCTGATCCCTTGGATCCGCTCGGTTCGTCTCCAGCTCCGCCGCCGTTTCCGGACGGATCTTCCTGTCCTGCGTCTGCACTCTGACAGAGGTGGTGAGTTTTCCTCCGATCTCCTGAGGACCTTCTGTCAGGCAGAGGGCATCGAGCAGACCTTCACGCTTCCGGACTCCCCACAGCAGAATGGGGTTGCTGAGCGCCGCATTGGCCTGGTCATGGAGATCGCTCGTACCTCCTTGGTCCATGCGGCGGCTCCCCATTTTCTGTGGCCGTTTGCTGTCCGGTACGCCGCGCATCAGCTCAACCTCTGGCCCCGTGTCTCCTTGCCGGAGACCTCGCCCACACTGCGTTGGACGGGGGAGGTTGGCGATGCGTCGCGCTTCCGGGTGTGGGGTGCTCGTGCCCTTGTCCGCGATACGTCCGCGGACAAGCTCTCCTCCCGCACGCTTCCCTGTGTCTTCCTTGGCTTTGTCCCTGACGCGCCTGGCTGGCAGTTTTACCACCCCACCTCGCGCCGGGTCTTCGCCTCTCAGGATGTCACCTTTGACGAGTCGGTCCCTTTTTACCGTCTCTTCCCCTACCGCACTGCCCCCCTCCCTCCCCCGCCGCTTTTCCTTGCTCCTGGTCCCCCTCCGGTAGACCCCCTTCCCCCTCAGGGTCCTGCTCCTTCAGGTGTCTCTCAGGTAGACCCTCCTCCCGTCGCTGAGCCTGTCGAGGTCACAGGTGACTCAGGTGCTGCTGCGGGTGGTGCTGCTGGGAGTGCTGAGCCTGGGGGTACTGAGCCTGGGGGTGCTGGGCCTGGGGGTGCTGGGGCTGCAGGTGCTGGGACTGAGGGTGCTGGAGCTGAGGGTACGGTGCCTGAGAGTACGGAGCCTGGGGGTGCTGCGCCTGGGGGTGCTGAGCCTGCGGGTGCGGGGCCTGGGAGTGCTGGGACTACGGGTGCTGGAGCTGAGGGTACTGTGCCTGAGAGTTTGCCGCCTGGGGGTGCTGAGCCTGGGGGTGCTGCGACTGGGGGTGCTGAGCCTGCGGGTACTGAGCCTGCGGGTACTGAGCCTGGGGGTGCTGCTACTGAGCCTACGGAGCCTCGGGTTACTGCGTCTGGGGGTGCTCCGGTTCGGGGTGCTGAGCAGTCTCTCACACCGCAGCAGCTTCGCGACTGGTACGTCCGACGCTTTCGCCGTCCTAGTGGCTCGACTGGAGTTTGGGGTGCTGGAGCTGCTCGTCCTGGGGGTGCTCGTACTGGGGGTACTGGAGCTGCTGGAGCTGGGGACTCTGGCGCTGGCGGTGCTAGCGGAGTTGGAGCTGCCGACTCTGGGGGTGGCGCTGCTGCTGGTGCTGCGGACCCACCTGGTGGAGCTGCTGCTGGTGCTGAGGAGTCGGACGGTGGAGCTGCTGCTGGAGCTGGGGACCCGGCCGGTGGAGCTGCTGCTGGTGCTGTGGACCCGGCCGCTGGAGTCCCTTCTGCTTCTGGAGACGCTGCGCGGCCGCGACCGTACTTCGTACCGCTCCTTCAGCAGGTTCTTGGGCAGGCTCCTCCTCCTTGTCCTCCTCCCTCCGTAGAGTGTCCTCCGCCTGTCCCGCCGCAGTCACAGTTACCGCCTGCCTCGCCTCTCCCTGCTCCCTCTCCTTATACTGGTCCCACAGGAGGTCTTACAGAGCGTCGTGAGCCTGAGTCTCGTCCTGCGTCGCCTGTTCGTCCTGCTCGCACTGGTAGTCGTGTCCGTCGTGAGCGTCCTCCTCCTGTCCCAGGCACTCACTACATGACTCTGCGTCCCTCTACTGCTCCTCGGCGTGTCCCTCTACCGTCTCCTCCTGCGTCCTCTTTGCCTGCCGTTCCGGACCCTGAGTCTGACCGGTATCGCGCTGAGCACCCTACAGTCACGCGTCTCCTTGCTACTGTTGTCACTGACCCCACCTTTGAGTCCTCGGCTGCGTCTGCTCTGGTCGCTGAGTTGGTTGACTTTGCTGCTGCCTGTCGTCTAGACTACGCTGCTAGCCTTGTCGCTGAGTCAGAGTCTGCGTCTGTCTGTCCTCCGTCCGTCGGGGGTGAGTGTGCTCTTGGCACGGACGTCCTTGAGGACAGGCAGGAGGACTTTGACTCTCTTGCGGCTGCTGTACCTCATCTCGTGGCCTGGTTGCTTGCCCCTGAGGGAGACCCGGATGCACTAGACATCCCCACTCCGCGCACTTACGCAGAGGCGATCTCGGGTCCCTACTCCTCTCAGTGGCAGACAGCCATGGACGCAGAGATGGCATCCTGGAAGTCCACAGGCACCTACGTCGACGAGGTCCCCCCTCCTGGGGCGAACATCGTCGATGGCATGTGGATTTTCAGGGTGAAGCGGCCGCCGGGTTCTCCGCCTGTCTTCAAGGCGCGTTACGTGGCTCGAGGCTTCAGTCAGCGTCAGGGGGTCGACTTCTTCCAGACCTTCTCCCCCACCCCGAAGATGACCACTCTTCGGGTTTTGCTGCACGTTGCTGCTCAGCGTGACTACGAGCTTCACTCTCTTGACTTCAGCACAGCGTTCCTGCAGGGCAGCCTGCACGAGGAGATCTGGCTGCGCCGCCCACCTGGCTTTACTGGGTCGTTTCCCCCTGGTACCCAGTGGAGTCTCCGCCGGCCAGTCTACGGTCTCCGCCAGGCGCCACGTGAGTGGCACGACACACTGAGGACTGCACTTGCGGCTCTTGGGTTCGCGCCGTCTACTGCTGACCCGTCGCTGTTTCTGCGCACTGACACGTCGCTGCCGCCGTTCTACATCCTCGTGTACGTCGACGACTTGGTCTTTGCTACTGCTGACACTGAGGCACTCGCTCGTGTGAAGTCGGAGCTGCAGAAGAGACACACCTGCACTGACCTGGGTGAACTGCGTAGCTACCTTGGCTTGCAGATCACCCGGGACAGAGCCCGTCGCACCATCACCCTGACTCAGTCACACATGGTGCAGCAGGTCCTTCAGCGCTTCGGCTTCCAGTTCTCCTCACCACAGGCCACACCTCTGGCTACCAGCCACTCACTCTCAGCTCCACCTTCGGACGAGTCCGTAGAGCCGAGTGGCCCGTACCTAGAGCTTGTAGGCTGCCTCATGTACCTGATGACTTGCACGCGACCTGACCTCGCGTACCCTCTTAGCATCCTTGCTCGTTACGTTGCGCCTGGGAGACACAGGCGAGAGCACTGGGAGGCTGCTAAGAGGGTGCTGCGGTACCTGTGCAGTACATCAGGCATGGGGCTGGTGCTTGGAGGACGCGACAGAGTTGTCCTCACTGGTCACTCGGACGCCTCTTGGGTGGACGACCTGGCTACGCAGCGGTCGTCACAGGGTTACACCTTCAGCCTTGGCTCTGGTTCTGTCTCGTGGCGGTCCACCCGCTCTTCCTCTGTTCTCGGCTCTAGTTGTGAGGCTGAGATCTACGCCACAGCCATGGCTGCACAGGAGTTACGCTGGCTCACCTACCTGCTGACTGACTTGGGAGAGCGGCCTAGTTCTCCGCCAGTTCTGTACGGTGACAACAAGGCGGCTCTTGCCTTGTGTCAGGAGCACAGACTGGAGCACAGGACGAAGCACATTGCTCTTCGCTACTTTCTTGCTCGAGAGCTTCAGCAGCGCGGTCAGCTTCGGCTTGTGTACGTGGACTCGAAGGCCAACACTGCTGATATCTTCACCAAGGCGCTCCCGCCTAGTGATCATCAGCGGCACTGTACTTCTTTAGGCCTTGTGTCCACGTTTCCTCACTTGCTCACTGCTTGACATTCTTTGTACTGTACTTTATATATATCTTGTTGCTTGCTTGCTAGGTTTTGATCACTGTGTTGCTTGTCTTGTACTATATCTAGCACTGCATGTGAACTGGCCTTGTGGCCTTTACTTGTGCTCGGAGTGTGGTGACGTTGTGATCCACCCTGGGCTTTGCTTTGCTTTGCTGGACTGGTCTTGTGACCCTTTGTTCTCCCCCACTTTGCCTATGGGGGTGTGTTAAACTGTATTATGCTTGTAGGCTGTAGTGGGGTAGCCAATATGGGGTACAACCCCAACTAGGGTTTCATATTTGTACCCAAACTTCTGTTAGTTCACTCATTCTTGCCTAGTGATTCTGATAAAGTACACCCGGGTGGTGAAGATACCGCCGGTGAATTTACCGCGGACTTGGTGTACCTCACGATCTGTGCTGGCGCAGGAATGAGCCGCGGATGTCTGTGGTTTCCTGCAAACAGCCGGATAATTTCGCCGTCATGAAAGAATCTCGATGGTGTTTAATTGGGCTAGTGTATTTCATGTTTCGTGTCAGCACGCTAGTGATTCCTTGCGAAAGTTTGTACAGCCAGTAAACAAAACCTTTTCTTGCGGAGATGAAACCAGCCCCACGGCCTGGGCTTCCAATTGTTTTCGTGGGGCACGCGGAATGACGCTTCAGGGCGCGAACGTATTTCACGAGAGCAATCCGCGTGATTGTCAACTGGTTTTCGTGGCACATGACGAAGTGGTTACCTTTGTGATCGTCGATGGTCGTATAGCGTTAGATTGTTATGTCGCATATGTTTCGCGCAAAACGAGAGCCATGCGATTAACATAGAACCGGGTTCCGATACGTTTTCGCATCACTGATTCGGGACGTCGACCTCTGTAATTCTGACACTTGGGCTCTTAACGACGTTTCCGAGCTTGACACGTGGTGCACGGACGCGGAAACGAAGCTCCCCGCAGAATTCCCCTCGACACTTGGTCAAATGGGAAAATTTGTAACCCGGATGAAGGCTGTTGTCGGCCCGAAGGAACTTCGGAGCTCCCAAGGGCCAACTTCGGACCAGGAGGGACTTCGGAGCTGGTGGCGCGGATGGCCGTCTGACGTCACATTTCCCGCCCCCTCGCGTGGGTAATCATGCGCGGATGACGTCATTTTTTCACTGTTCGTATGTATTATCCACACGTGGTGCTGATCTGTTCATAGACCACTGTGGACATCTGTGGAGTCGCATTCCAAAAGCTTCCACGTATTCTGTGACTTTGTCTGTAATGATTACGATCATAATATATTCCATTCCATTCCATTCCAAAAGCTTCCACGAATGTAACGAGTGCCTTCGTTTTGTCGCCTAGCCAGGTCTGGTTTCCCTGTCCTGCAGGCGAGGCGACCTATTCATGTGAACTGCCCTTGCATGCGACGAACGAAAACGGTCGCCGCATCGCTGCAGGTTGACATCTGACATCAGCCAATCTTGAATGGTGCAGGAAACTGCAATTTCTGTGCCCGATTTCGGCACATTCGTCCGAGATGGGGTCGGTCTCACTCATTTGAGTTCGCTTCATTGCGGTGAGGTGTGTTTCTGTACATTTTGAAGTGGTTTGATTTCACTTCTTAACGTTTGAGTAGGGTTCGAGCAATACCAAACTTCATACGACACTCCCGCCATTATCTCGCACAAACCTCTACCCACCTCAGTTACCTCAGCAGCATCGCCTTCCCCTCATTTTTTGCACATTCAGGGAGGTTCTGCTGATAGCATCTTAGCGTCGGCTTTTCTGCGTTTCCAGCACGCGCTTGGCTGGAAATTCTCACTCACCATGGCTGCTGGGGATACGCTTCCTTGGACGGGCTGGTTCGCCAGCGGAATCAACGCCGCCCAGCATATTTCCCCAAATGCAGCGGCGTCAGGCGGAGACTTCCGCGCTGCGTCTGGCGTAGTCGCAGCCTTTGTCGCAGCGATCGCAGTTCTCATTTCCACTTCGTGGCTCTCCTTCCTCCGCCGCCGTCGCTCCCTCCCCCCCGGCCCTTACCCATGGCCTATCCTCGGTAACCTCCCGGACCTAGGAACGCTTCCATTCCGCTCCCCGGCGAAGCTGGCCGACAGGTACGGCCCAATCCTGACCGTATGGTTCGGTTCGACACCGTCAGTGGTGATTTCGTCGCCGGAGCTCGCTCGCGAGGTGCTTAAAACGAATGACAAGCTCTGCTCGTCTCGCCCGACGATTCGCACATTGGAGATTTTCTCTCTCGGCGGGAAAAATATCGTGTTTTCGCAACCCAACGACCGTTGGCGAAAGTTGCGACGGCTGGCGACGCTGCACCTTCTGTCTGCGAAGAAACTGCAGGAGAGTCTTGATGTGCGAGAGGGGGAGGTTCGCGACATGCTCGATGCGATCGCTGCTGACGTGGCTAGTACTGCTGACGAAGCTGCTACTGACGCAACAACGGGTGGAAACGCGTATGTCACCGTGGCAGACGAGGGGAGCATAGTAGAAGTGCGCAGGTATTTAAGTCGCGCGACGCTCAACAACATTATGCGCATTACTGTCGGGAAGCGGTTCGGCTATTCGTCGATTCGCGGCGCGGCGAGCACCACGCCGAAGGCGCTTCTCGACGACGCGATGCGCATCGACTGGAACGCGCGCATCGCCACAATTAGCGGCGAGGAACGCGGCGGTGAAATTCGACGCGGCGCCGGTGCCGACGCGGCTGCAGCTCCAGCTACTGGTTCAGACGCTTCAGCAGCGGCGGAAGCGGAATGTAGTACTGCTAAGACTAACTTATCGTCTGCAATGGAGGCGACGGAAGGAGAGGTAGCGTTTGCGATTATTGAGGAGGGATTTGCTCTAGCGGGAGCATTCAATCTCGCGGATTACGTGCCCTGGCTGAACCACTTGGACCCGCTGCGCATGTACGCGTGCGCGCAGCGCCTCGCGCCGCAGCTGTTCGGACTCATGGGCGCGTGCATCGCGGAGCGACGCCAGCTCCTGCTGAAAAAGAAATGTTCCTCAAACGAAGAAAACGTGACTGTGGTGGAAGAAACCACTCTTGTCGATACTTTGCTCGAGATTGAAGGGGAGGGGGGGGATCAGCTGAATCAAGACGAGATGCTAATGCTCGCGATTGACATGATGATGGCTGGCACTGATACCACCGCCAAGACCGTGGAGTGGGCGCTTGCTGAGCTGGCACAGCACCCTGACATGCATCCCAAAATTACAAAAGTTGGGTTTGGCCTATCGGGCAAGGAAGTGGGTACTTCGAAGCTTGGCTTGGAGTAGCTGCCTTCTGAACACAATGAATCTACAGGCAATTTCGTAAGGGCCCGTACCTACCTCGCATGCCGAGCCTAGGACCCAACAGACTGAATACAATGTTGCTGGCTTGGGAACATTTACAAACCAGCCACATCGGCCAATGAGTGCATCCCGTACCAAACGCCCAATAGGGCCTGAAGCACCACCGTGGGACAAAGCCACCACAATGACCCTACCCGGCGTGAACAGTAATATTTTCTCGATATTGTCAGTTCAGCGTGCACAAAATTTGCGACACTGTCTTACACGTATACTGGTACTCTCTTTTAGAATCTCTTTTACGTCATGGGCTGCTTTGACACAAATAGTGACGCTTTGTCAGTACGACAGGGCTGTAAACCCGAACGACCAATGAAAAATACGGCTGGTTTTCCCTTCACAAGCATCTCAAAACACATTTACATTTAGCCGTCGATTGTCGAGATCGACGGTTTTTAGTGATTTTGGCAATTGGTGCAGGTTCGATCGGTCACCGTCGATCTGAATCGCTTGAACGGTTTAGATCAGAGGTCTGTTAGGTAAGGTTGGAATTTACACCGTAGATCTCTAAGGCAATGAATGGTCGAGATCTCGCCTGACTTCTCTCAAACCATTCCAAGAGATAAGTGTGGTTGCCAGGGGTTGGAATCTCAGCCATCGATCGTCATCCTTGGATGGCCACGATCGACAGATGCAGAAGATAATGCTCTCTGGCTTCCAATTGGTTTATAAACAGATTTCCGGCTGACGCTACCACACATAACTGGGTAGTTCCAACACCTGTCCTTCTCATTTCCTCCGTTCATTTCTTCCATACAAATTTGTTTCGTTCCCTGCTCTTCAGTTTCACCTGCCAGACCACGCGCTTGTTCGTCTTTCAGCTTGGGAGTCTAGGGTTCGACTAATTGATTTTCAGTCGTTTGCATCTACCTTATCACACTACTGCAGGCGATAGTGGCGTGGCATTTGGGCGTGGCGATATGGGCGTGGCGTCATGGGCGTGGCGACATGGGCGTAGCGACATGGGCGTGGCGACATGGGCGTAGCGATATGGGCGTGGCGATGTGGGCGTGGCGATGTGGGCGTGGCGATTGGTTCAAGCTTCACCCACCCCAGATTTCGCTGGAGCCACACAGATATAACAGAGGACATGCAACACGTAGGACCTTCATTTCCTCCATTCGTTTCTCACCTTCCAGACAGTTGTAGTTCAGTTTCTCTCCCTTCGATTCCACCCGCCAGACCACACTAGTATTACTTCTCGCCTTAGAAAGCGCTACCTGTCGAGTTCCCGTCGTTTGCATCTGCCTTGTGGCATGGCGGAAGGCGATTTTGGGCGTGGCGATTTTGACGTAGCGATATGGGCGTGGCGACATGGGCGTGGCGATACGGGCGTGGCGGAATAGGCGTGGCGCGTGGCGATGTGGGCGATGGCGTGCGTGCTGCGGCAACGTTGTTACCACACGAAGCCCTGTATTTAGTCTCCGTTGCCTGTTTTCCTAACATTAACGTCTTGTGTGTCACTAGTTTTGCAGGCTAATATTTTTATCTTGCAGGAATCCATGATTATATGTTGAAGCCGTATATAATATTTACTGGGAAATGGCGGCACCCTGGTAAGTACTCAGGTGCAATTACGTTGGCAGCCTGTCTAAATTGCCTAACATTTCTTGTTTTTCAGGGATGGGTTGGTCGCATGTTGCTGCGAGGCTCGCTCACCTAGTAGGACCTTTTCGTGAAGACGATTGCTCCCTAGCGTTAGCAATGTCTGTATTGGGTGAATGTGTGTTTGTACTGCTGAAATAATGAAATCAATAAATTTATTGAACAAACGATACTCGGAAACGTTTAATCAAATGCTTCAAAATGCAGCTGTATTTGCTGTAAAAGCGCCTAGTAGGTACTATGTAACTACTCCATCCTTGCTAAGGGAGTTGCGCGCTTGTAGTTTTATACTGTTTACAATGTAGTTACTGGACCCTGACTCAAAGCATGTACAATGTGGTTACCCTATTTCCAGCCTGTGTCGAAAGTGAAGTAAATTGGTTGTAGGAGAACCTATAAGTACAATGTTCGACCCTGCAATGTAGCTACACGTAAAATAGCATGCACCTCTACAGTAGTCACATTGTAGCTCCGGCGAGGAATTTTGGGATGTGCTGGAAAGGCTCCGCGCTGAGGTGGATGAAGCTTATGCCAGGTCAGCAAGGGCAGCTGCGGAAACTGGGGTGGCTGCAGCAGGAGGTTCTGATCCTCTGGTCTCCCTTCCGGTTCCAGAAATGCCGTATCTGCAGGCTGTCATCAAAGAAACACTTAGGCATTACCCCGTCGCTCCGTTCCTCGTTCCCCACCAGACAACGGGCAGCGTATGTATAGGGGGTTACCACATTCCTCCCAACACAATGATTCAGATCAATGGCTGGGCTCTCTCCCACGATCCAACGGTCTGGATCAACCCGCACAAATATGATCCCTCCAGGTTCCTAGTTTCTGAAGCCCCTGACGTGACCGGACAAAATTTCAGCATTCTGCCCTTTGGTTCGGGCAGGCGTGGGTGCCTGGGGACGAACCTGGGATTGGACCTGTCTGCCCGCCTGCTGGCGAATTTCGTTTGGCGGTTTGATCTCAGGCTGCCCGAAGATGTGAGGGCAGCTGGGGGGCCGGACATGACTGAAAATTTTGGGCTGACTATGGCTCTGGCTAAACCGCTGAGGGTTGTGGTGAGGGAGAGAAAGGCAGGGGCAGGAGCGGTGGTTTCTGCTTCAGGAGCATGAGCTGCAAGAGGTGCTGCGAGGGGAGCTACATGAGGGGTTGAGCTGGTTATGGATTTATGGAGTTACTAGCTGTCTAAGGCAGTGGTGAGGGGGAGGAGGAGCAGCCGCTTCAAACTCTGAGGCTCCACCCCCCAGTATCACTCCTCATCCCTCACCCGAAATCTGCCAGAGTTGCTATTGGCGGATACATTTTCAATGCCTGGGGTATCGCTCACGATCCAACGGCCTGGGTCAACCCCCATGACTTCGATTCTAGCAGTTTTTTTGGCCCATCTGCCCATGCTGTTACAGGGCAGAATTTTGACGTGCTGCCCTTCGGTTCGGGCAGGCGTGTGTCTGCAGGTATGATTTTGGAACTGGACCTTTCAACGTGTATGGTAGCAAGCATTCTATTGCTGTTTGATTTGAAGCTTCCCGAAGACATGTTGGCTGCTGGTGGAGTTGACGTTCATTTGGGAGAGGACTCAGGTAGCGCTGGCTAAGCCACTAAGGCTTGTCTTACAGGAGTGGGAATGTTGAAGGTGAAGTAGGCTTATTCTCGTTTGAGACATGTGATAAGGCGCAGAGAGTTGGCAGTGTCAAATGTTGTAGCCTATAGTGAGGTTTGTCTTAGGGGGTACAAAACTTAGGGTTAGCTATATGTACCCCAACCAACATCAATGCATCATCCATTTCTCATTTTGACATGGTATCAGTTAGGTTAGGATCCTGTGGGATCCCGTTTCTCCGTTCTCCGATCGTACCACCCGAGCCTGATCCTAGCTCTCGTTTCGCCCGTCTTGCCCGAGCCTAGTGCCGGCCCGATCTAGTCCCGTTCGTTCGTTACCGCTCGTTCTTCCTCCCGATCTAGCGTAGCCCGATCTAGCGTACCGCTGCAGGTCGCGCAGCGCTTTCCCCCCCCGCTGCCGTCGAACCGCGCTTCCCCCCCCCCCCCCCCCCCCCCCCCCCCCGCTGCCCGTCGAACCGAGCTTCCCCCCGCTGCCCGTCGACCCGCGCTTCCCCCCGCTGCCCGTCGACCCGCGCTTCCCCCCGCTGCCCGTTGACCCGTGCTTCCCCCCGCTGCCCGTCGACCCACTCTTCCCCCCGTTGCCCGTCGACCCGCGCTTCCCCCCGCTGCCCGTCGACCCGCGCTTCCCCCCGCTGCCCGTCGACCCGCGCTTCCCCCCGCTGCCCGTCGACCCGCGCTTCCCCCCGCTGCCCGTCGACCCGCGCTTCCCCCCGCTGCCTGTCGACCCGCGGTTCCCCCTGCTCGCGTCCTAGCCCGTCGCCCAGGCCCGCGCCCCAGCCCGTCGCCCTGGCCCGGCGCCTTTGCCCTACCCGCCCGCGCGCTCCTGCCCTAGCCCGCGCGCTCCTACCCTAGACGCCCGCCACACCTTACCTACCCGCCCGCTCTTGCCCGCTCTTCCTGCCCGTTCCCCCTTGCCGCTGCACCCTGCTTTCCCTGCCAATTCCGTTTGCACACTATGGCGACCCCTCGCGTCCTTCGTTTCGACGCTGACGGTAGACCTCTTGATTTTTCCGTCTGGCTTCTTCGTGCTCGCCGTCTGTTAGAGAGTCAGGTCCAGGCAGGCGAGACCCTCTGGGCGCACGCTACTGGTGCCCTACCTGCGCCCTCCGACCCTACGCCTTTAGGACCTGCCCCTGATGACGCCGCTAGAGCCCGCTTTGCCACTCAGCGAGCTGACCAGACGGCTTGGAAGTCACGTGACGCTGCGGCCTGCATCGCGCTCAGCAGCCTCCTCCCTGAGTCTGAGGAGGTTCACTTCACTCAGGTTCGCACCGCTGCTGAGTACCTCACTGCGATTAAGGCCCGCTACTCTACTCCCGCTGCTGTCTCTCTTGGCCGCCTGTTCCTCCCATTCCTGTTTCCTGACCTAGCGTCTTTTGAGCGCTCTGCTGACTTGATCGCTCACCTCCGCTCGCTCGACGCTAGTTACCGCGCTGCTTGCACTGAGGCACAGCTTGCACTGCTTCCTCCCCCTATGGCGATCACTATCTATTTCATCGCCACTAGCCTCCCTGACCGCCTTGCCTCCGTTCGCGACGCGCTTCTGCTGAAGCACCCTAGTGAGCTCACCGTCGAGGTCCTTGAGTCTGCACTCAAGGACGTCGAGAGCAACCTTCGCTCGGTAGCCGCTGCCTCTGGTGCTGTGCCCCCCCCACTCTTCCACGGGTGCACAGTCCCGCAGTTACCCACCTTTACTGCCTCAC